TTTATTTCTGTATAAACATTTAATGCGAACACATCGAGAACACCGCACATAATACCGGTATGTATATATCCTTTACTTGATCAATTTTAAATATAGAACAAACTTTGAAATATTTTTATACTGAAAGTTCCCGTGACAATATGCAGACCGGCTTTCTAGAAAACAAAATAGTAGGCCAATGTGGACAAAGTGGTGTATGAAACATTTTTTTGACAAACAAAATGTTTAGGCCAATGTTCAGTTTTATGGTATATCCATTTAGCATGAAAATGATTTTTCATAAGCATAGTAAACATAAAATGACAACAATGCTTAATATAAATTTCATGCGTCCGAAGCGCTTTTCTGGATTTACCTTCATCAGGAACGCTAAAGCCGAATAAATAACAGTTGTACAAAATAGCTGATATCTGATATCCTGTTTTTGTTAGAAATACTTTTTTTTATATAAAAACACCCATACTCTCTCTACTTAGTTCTCCATATGAAAAATAATTTGAAGTAGATTTTTAAACACCTAATAAAATTTTATAAATAGTAGAGATTCAATGGCACCACAAATTTTAAACCCATATTTTTCACAACCATATAGATATAATAAGATGGGTGTAACCATTGTGGCAAACATATTAAGTTGTTCATCAACTTTTATGGAAATCAATACTTCTGCATGTATTTTAATATTACAAGCTTTTGTATCTTGTTCTAACAGTTTTATTCTATTTTATATATAAGATCCATTATTGGTAAAGATTATACATTAATATATGAATTCATCTACAACACTTTGTATTTCATTATTAAGTATACATACAGGTTGATTTTTGTTTTTTGAAGAATTGATCTCCAAATTCCACGTTTTACAACACAAGTACATAGCATTGAGAGCAGCTTGTAATTCAATCTTAGATTTTTAACAGTGTCATCAGCATACAAAAATCAAACAAAAGGCATACAATACAATATCAGCAACTAAAATAAATTGATACGTATCAAGACAATTACTAGTAGTAAATAAGAACAAGTTATAACAACAACACGTGTTACCATTACAATCAACAGTCTATCTCTTTTTTGCTAGTTACAGTTCCAATCGCAACTACTCGGCTATTCGCGCTACGCCTACAATAACGTTATTGTAGGCGTAGCGAGAATGGTCGAGTAGTTGCGATTGGTAACAGTTCGCTGGTAAATAAAATTGAAATTACTTCTGGGATATCTGACCACGAAATTGTGTATATCAAATCCAGCTTGAAACCTAGAAGGGCTAAAACATCCCAGAAAAGTCTTTTATATAATAAACCATTACTGAATAGATTAAAGATAAACTAAACAACATAGATCTTGACAAAATTATATATAAATACGAAAATTACATTGGCTTAATTTTGGGAAACTTTAAAAAAAAATGAAGAATCCATTCCAATTAGTATCAGTGATCAATAATTCAAAAGAGAAAGTACCATGTGTCAATAAGGAGATAAAACCACTCATTAGAAAAAGAAACACACTCTTCAAAAGGATGACAGTAGCTTCAAACAATGATAACACATTATAAAAGTCAGGAAACAAGAAAACATTTTCAAAAAGAGACAAAGAAAACTTATTTGAAATACCTTGAAACAATATGCTGTGATGAAAAATTAGACACTCCCCAAAAATAGAAACAGTTTTGGAATTGCATTACGAACAAAAAAAAAGTCGGTTCAGGAGTTGTACCGTCATGTTAATAAATGTCAAACACAAAAGCAGAAATAAAAAAACTGTTTAACAAGATCGCTTTTTTCACTCCCTAACATGGAAACGAATAAAAACAACTCTTGAAGTTCTATATGTATATCTATGCCAGAAATGTATGTCATAATGAATGATAAATGGTAGAGACAAAAAACTCAGATCTGTTTGCATCTGGATCACTCACATTTGAATGCATCTTTTTTGGAGGGGAGGTGTCTTTAGAATGGCGATAGGTAAACGTTATACCAATAGGTTAGAAATACCATGGAAGTATTATATTGAAATATATAATACTTCCATGGAAATACCTAGCCAGTAAGTACAGACCAGTCTCTTTGTAGCATGTATAATTGTTTATTCTGTAAATTATTGGAACACGCATTGTAGTCTGTAACATGCTAGTTGATCAGCATCATGGTTCATAGAGCTAAACACTGACACACAAAAACAGCTTATACTATTAAATTTTCTCAATGCATTTGACGAGATTCATGACAAGAAATTATTAAGGAAGGCTTCAAGCTGAATCATTATGACATCATACAGAGAAATACACGGAAATTGGTGTCAGGAGTTCTATGATAATATATAGAATGCAGCAGGTCGTACTTGATGGGGAGGTACCTCTCACCGTTTTAGCATATACTTAAAATAAATAATAGTTGAAGGCATTGCTCGCCTTTAGTGCGGAAGGTCGTGTGTTCGATCCCCGGCCGGGTCAAACCGAAGACTAGAAAATTGGTATTTGCTGCTTCCCCGATAAGCACTTGGAGTTAGATCAAAGGTCGGAAGTCCGAATGATGTATCCGGGGAGGGTGACGTGACGACTTCCTGTCAGTGCGGACTGTTTTCTGTGAACTAGCAGAAGTTCAAAATCCGTTTCGGCGTTTCGGTCTACATAGGCGGATCCAGGGGGGCCCGGGCCCCCCTTTCGTGGGAAAAATTTGGTTGATTATATAGGAATCACTAAAGCGTGACTGGAGCGGGCCCCCCTTAGGTCAGTCAGCAAGATAAGTTTTACAAGAAGTAAACATGAACAAATCGCCAGACTTTTAATGTGGGTTATTGCTCTTAAATGTTGAATTTTATCACCCCCCTCTCCTGTTTAGGGGGGGGGGGGGGGTGGGGGTTATCTCGAAAATATATTAATGAAGAACTTTAAAAAGCAAAATTGGTTAGCAATACAAGACTTTACAAGTAAGTTTACATAGTCGAAATCGTTAGCCGATTCCTTATTCATGAATAATTGCCCTTAAATAACGATTTCTATCCATCTTTTGTATGTGGCGGAAACTATAAAAATAGATAGTGTGAAACTATATAAACTAAAAATCTAAAATGATCAGCAAAGTATGAACTACTAATAAGTCAAAGGACCGAAATCGACAGTCGACACCTTATGGGAATATTCCCGTCAGATGCTGTTTTTGTTTCACATCACGTTCGCATCACAATGCGAATCTATAAGTTTCGTACGATATTCACGCCATTTTGAAGTTATAACATAGCAAATATCGGTTCTCATTGGTTGCATTATGATTTGGTAAAGATTCTATTGGCTAGAATGATATATAGAATTGGTAACATGTCCCGGACAGGAGAAGATATTGAATACGGACAATTTTGACAGTATGGGTATTCAAGATCTTATCTGATACCCGATCAATGAATAATTTTGCCTTTACCGGTTTTACCTTGCTATTTAATGTCGCGTCACATTCATATTGCTAGATAAGAAGATGGACAAAGATGTACAAGTTTCTGGGTGTTTATCTGACTATTTATGCAATATAAACCAACACTTAAGATGCAAATCACTGCGAATGATCTTCAAAAAAATTGACAGGATACATCCATGTTACAAAACTAAATGATATATAAAAACAGCTACGTCAAGAGTACATGACACCCCATTTTGTTCATCAGAATTGTTGTGAGAATAATTTTGAATATTTCGGAGGCATCTAATAAACATGCATGAGGTTATCCATATGCAAATAAATATTGCGTCAGAAATGACTGTTAAAAGTCGCATAACTCTAGAACGACAAACCATGAAATTTTCAAAATCCAAAGTGAGTTTACATTCAACAATAGCAACAACACTACAGCTTGTAGTAAATTGATCCAAGCATATTATAGATCTAGTGTATGACATGAAGACTATTACCTTTTATTTATCTGCCCGTCAAAATCCCACCACTTGAATGACAAATCATAAATTTTCAAAATCAAACGGTTTATCTTGAATGCAAAAAATATCAGGAAGACAAGATTTTGACCCACACAGTTTTCATTCAACACAAAATTGCATTTACGGTAACGTTGTTTGGTCTCTAGTGGATAGTTTGTCTCATTGGCCATCATACCACATCTCCTTAATTAATATTTTATGAATTTTATGCAAAAATTCCAGATGAGCAAAACAGGCTCTTTGGGGACTCTAGTTTACTTTGCTTTGTGTAATTGTTACATGATTTTTTGGTAATACTTCTAATTTTGTTTGTTTATTTTAATCGATAGAGATATTCTTGTCTTGTTTATAGAAGTAGGAATACTAGATTTAAAGATTTCATTTAACCTATAACCTTTGTCAGTACATTCATTTAGCTTAACTGTATGATGCAAGATTCATGCAAAGGACGAATATTCCAATCACAAAATGTTGCGAGGTATCTTGTTGTTTTCAAAAAAAAAAAAAAAAAGAAATGGTCAACGGTTTAATCACTGTCTTTAAAAGGTAAAACACTTAATCTATAAAAAAGTCTAGCGACAGAATATGCCAGTCAAATATTTAGAAATAAAAAACAATCACTACAGATACCAGGCTAAAAAGTTCATTGCCAATGTTGTTGAAAATGAATTAAAAACAAGATGGTAATACGACACATGCACTTGTCGCTGTAATAAAAACAAACTATATACGTGTTAAGTAAAGGCATATAGTTTTTTTTTAAAGAGACAAGTGCCTATGTATAACGACCTGTCTGAGTATAAGTGTTCATCTTATTTACTGACTGGAAGTTATCATTTATTTATTCATCATTATTATAAGAAGTCTCATTCAGACAAATGAGTGTTTACTATATATAATGAATACAAGTTAAGACAATTTGCACAACCGAAGAGTAAAAACAACCACAAGGACAGTAGTTATACTTGTTGATAACTTAAAAATGCATGATAAAAACGCACTCAGAAACATATGCATAAAAAGCTGTGTGTCGATGCCCTTTATCTAAATTATCCAAAGGGAGGTCGCATCAACCTCATTTATATTGTAATAAATGATATACCACATATACTGCAAGCTCTACTTCAGATCTTACTTGAATGTTAACTTATACGTGTAGATATGCACAATGAGGACCAGTTTGGATCCAAACTTTCTGATAAAAGAGGTATGACTTCAATTATCCTTTATGACCTTTTTTATGTAGCAACATTCAAATAGCGCATTTACACAGATGCGGATCCAGGATTTTGATTATAGGGGGGGGGGGGGGGGGGGGGCAGGGCAACTTTTGGAGTTGGACTTCTAAAAAGTATATGCATTAACCATATATGTAGCTCCATACGGGGGCAAGACCCCTCCCCCCCCCCCCCTTTTTCCCAAAAAAAAAATCCGCCTCTGATACAAAGTATAATCTACATTACTAATTCTTTTTTTTTCATGATTTTATTTATTGTCATTATTGCACTGTATATTGTGTATAAGTATATATTTCCCATTTCCATTCCCAATTCTATTGATATTTTATATAATCATTGATTGAAAAATGGTATCAAGACAGTCCATTGTCAACAATATACGAGACAAAGATAATTTGGGATATATCATAAAAATGATTCGACTAAATGTTTCTTACCTTGAATATCTGTTCAGAACTTCAGACTTGCTAGTAATCCACTATCAATATACGATCATCATGACCGCGTACACTTAACTATGAACAATACACGCTTGTCCGATGCAATGAAGATGCACCATGCATTGTTAATTAATCCAAACATGTGAATCGGATACTAATTGTAAACGTTCGCGGCGCAAGAGGAAACATATATAGACTAACATTTTGATCTAATGGGAACGAATTTCATACAATGAACTTTAATTTGTCAGAATTTAAAAATAATAACATGTTTTAGAAAACCTTCAAAAAACTATTGTGTTAAATGACTTTGTCGGAGCTGTCGAAATAAAACTGGAGGCTTAAGTGGGCCTGTATCGATATATATGGATTTCAAACCTTTAAAGATGTAAAAGAAATGATTGTTTAAACAGAATCTGAAAATGCTTTTAGCAGCAATTATTTTTTTATTTCACCGGAACCATTTGAGGAGCCTTTGTAGAAAACTGTCCTTATATTAATTTTTATAAGATTGGACAAATTTAACCTAGTAGTATAAAAGAAGAAGTTGAAAATGTTACTTTCCAATGAGCCACCAATGCCGCCATATTTGCAAGTCGATACATAATAAACTAGGATCATTTGTAGTTTGTAAGACTTCTACCAATCATTAATCCTGAAAAGTTTCTAAGCATTTCCCCCAGTAGTTTCAGAGGAGTAATCTTTGGAAAAAATCAGTTATTGCCACTCGCGGTTATGTATTCGTCCGACCAGAACCAAATGAAGAGAGTTCGTAGAGGTTCTCCGCTAAGTTTATTTTATCATTGGAACAAGACTTTCAGATAAGATGAAAATAGGATTGTCCATGGAGTTTTATTGGGAAATAAGTGTGCCACCAATGTGGCCTTGTTTGCAATCCAAATCGATCAATATCAATTTAATGGGGACAGTCAATAGAAGGGTTCGTATTATCGTTTTCTCTCTCGATTTTTTCACTTAGTTTTATCTTTTTTAAAGAGTTGTATCATTGAATATTGTTCTCAAAAGATATGCATCCTACATTTTATTTAGTTATTCCGTTCGCTGACCCCAGTACACCAAAGATGTCATTAGTTATCTCCCCTTAAAATAACACCCTCCTTTCCTGGGTCGACTAAAATTTCACTGTGGTATAGTGTTACAATGGTAAAGGATTAAAGGATTTTATATTGGGCTAAATGGATGCGTTAAAAATGGGAAAGTCCTCACATCACATCACTTGTGTATTTTATGAATATCAATAAATACAGTATGACTGAAAAAAAAGTAAAAGCCAATTTATTTTTAGATACGCCATAAACAGTCATAATTCGCTTGGTCATAACTTTAAAGATAGCTTATGTAATTTGTAAATTAAATTTAAATAAAACATCTGACCTTGACTTTAACTACAATGTCATATACATTTTATATAAACGAGAGGCGAAAGATACCGAAGGGATACTCAAACTCATAAATGAACAACGAACTGACCATGCCATTGCTAAAAACGTAAAACGAACAAAAAGACAAACGACAGTATACAAAACACAACATGGAAAACTAAAGACTGAGCAACACGAACCCTACCAAACATCGAGGGTTATCTCAGGTGCTCCGGATAGTTAAGCAGATCCTTTCCAAATATGTTGCACACGTCGTGTTGCTCATGTAAGTATAAACGCGATGATAAGTCAGGATCTGCTTACCTTTGTCAGTAGGTCACATTCGAGGATAAGAGGACAGGATTGTGGTTACGACAATTGGAACAATATCCATCGTCATCTGTGAATCCGAGTGTTTTTGTCTCGCTTACGACTTTCGTCGCAGTATGCGAGCCATAGGGATTACTATCCGGTGACGGCAGTGTAAACTATTTGTATAAAGCTTTATATTTCAGGAGGTACAAGACCTGGATCCTTCATACCTTGTATGCAAATACCTTACATTACGAAGTTTTCGTCTGTTATATGTCCATTGTCCTTGACCTCATTTCATGGTTCAGCGACTGCTGGAAAAAAAAATTGTAGTTTTTATACGACCGCAAAAAATTTTTTGCGGTCGTGTATTGGTATCACGTCGTCGTCGTCAGCGTCGTCCGAAGACATTTGGTTTCCGGACAATAACTTTAGTATATGTAAATAGAAATATATGAAATTTAAACACAAGGTTTACAACCACTAAAGGAAGGTTGGAATTGATGTTGGGGGTTATAGTCCTAACAGTTTAGGAATTAGGGGCCAAAAAGGGGCCCACATAAGCATTTTTCTAGTTTCCAGACAATAACTTGTGGAACGGTGTATGGATCTCTCTGAAATTATACCACAAGTTTCCATACTACAAAGGAATGGTTAGGATTGGCTTTGGGGGTTATGGCTCAGACCGTTTAGGAAAGAAGGGCAAAAAAGGGGGAAATCAAGGGTTTCCTGGTTAATGGACAATTAAAAAAAAAGTACAGTGTTATGTTTGGATTACCTCCCTTACACTGCTTTTAAATTATGTATTGCTGACTAAGAAATATTAATTTTAGCCATGATTATGTATGTCATTTTCTATTTTAAGACTTTTATGATGTATTTAAATGGGTAATTATGGTTGCAACTTCACTGGAAATTTGAATAGAGATTATGACCATATCTTGAGGGAAAGAAATTTTTTTTTTGGAAAAAGTGGAGGAGGTGAAAAAAATGGGGGGTGGGGGGTTGGGGGTTGGGGGTAAAAAAGGAATTGTGAAGGGGGAGCATTTTTTTCTCATTTCAAATTTCAGAAATTAAAAAGAAAATTTCTTCAAATATATTTTTTTGGCAAAAAAGAGGGGGGTAAATTTTTTTTAATTTTTTTTTTTGGGGTGGGGGGGGGGGGGGGGTCAATTCGCAACTACATAGTGTGTTGCACAAAAGCAAAAACAAATGAATATAAATTCAAATCATATAACCAATTCTAAGTTCTTTGACTACAGTTATTCTGTGTCAGAAACCTATTATGTGTCAAATATTTAATTACAATCCAAACTCAGACCTGTATCAAGCGCGAATATTGTGTCCATTTTTGCCCCAACTGTTCAGGGTTGGACCTCTGCGGTCGTACTCAGCTGCGCTCGGCGAAGCAATTTATTTTTTAATTTGTCATGTGAATTTCTCACTTATTATGAGTAATAGGATGACTATATTTGGTATATGGGTTCCTCACAACGTCTACATGTTCGAATACGTCAGACAGGGTTCATCTGACCTCGACCTCATTTCATGGATGAGTGATCAAGGTTACGTGATAAGGTCCATTTCTCAGATACTACAAGCAGTAAGTCAACTAAACGTCGTGTATGGAATGATTGTAATGTGTATATGTCTGTCTAGCAGGTTTCATCTGAACTTGACCTCATTTTCATGTAGTCAATGTTGAGCTTTTTGTGTTTTGGTCTCTTTTTCAAATACTAGTAGCAATAGGTCAGCTATATTTGGTGTATGTAATGATTATAAGGTGTACATGTCTGTCTGGTAGGTATCATCTGACCTTGACCTCATTTTCATGATTTATTGGTCAATGTCAAGTTTTTGTGTTTTTGTCTGTTTTCAATTACCATAAGCAATAGGTCAACTATATTTGGTGTACGTAATATTTGTATGGTGTACATGTCTGTCTGACAGGATTTATCTGAATTAACCTCATTGTCATGGATCTTAAAAAAAATAATGAGGTACTTATAGTAAGACCTGCATCTTTAAGACTTTCAACATAAAATCAATGGTCAGTAAAGCAGGATAGACATTTCAGCGTGTGCACTTTTGTTTTTTTTTTTTTCCCTCAAAGTACGATTTATCCCTCCCTAAGACAAGATACTGGCCGTTTTTGTTTATATTTTTTATATTTGTTATGGATATGATATAAACCTACCGTAAAAATTACAATAGAAAAGTACACAATAGGACATATATCATTACTCATCATCAGACGACCATAAAATCCCTCATGGGTTTTATAAGCTGTAATGATGGAGAATACAGTGTCAAAATGATTATCTTTCTGCCATTACATTGTAATTAATTCATACAAAATAGGTTTTCTTTCTCAAAAACGAATGTACCATACAAACTATATATATTGTTAATCGAAACTTTATTCGTGCGAGACTTTGAAAGTAAACTGACTCTCCACTAAAAGTCATTAATAAAATACATAAGCAGTCTTTAGAGAATTATCTATAAACAAAAATAGTCTAGACATTTTAATCATTATGATGTTTTAGTTCCATACCCATTGGAAGCTTTTCAGTCTGCAATTGCATCAAGCTAAAATTCGGTCTTTTCAAAATCACGAAGCCAAATAAAAAGCAATGAAATATTTTAGATTTATAAATTAGGAAATGTCGCATATGATCAAATATTACATATGGTGTAGCATTCTTCTTTTTTCATTGGTTATTACACGCACGTGATTCAAAGGGAATTCCATGTACCTGAAGCCTCGTATCTATTTATAAGTATATGGATGCTATGTTTCTATCTATATATATATATATATTGACGGTCAATATTAATAATCTTGCAAAACACACAGAAAGAACATTAAGTCCACTTCCATAATACACTATTTACATATTTATCAATAATGGACTTTTGACGAGATCAATACGTTATATATGGACCTGTTCAGATTATATTGTCCGAGGACGAAGTCCGAGTTTCAATATAATCTAACACGTATTGACTGTGAACAGTGTATTATGGAAATCGACTTCAATGTTCTTTCTGTGTATTTTACTTTGTATTTAGCAAGATCTTTTAATATTGACCGTCAATATATAATATATATAGCGTATTTTACGTTGTATTTTACAAGATTTTTAATATTGACCGTCAATATATATATAAATAGATGATGGGGTTATTAACGACCTTGACTGTCTATAAAGCCCTCGCACGGTTGGATATAAATAGAAACATAGCGTCCATATACTTAAATACCCTTTGCATCAAGTGATCGTTATAACCAATGAATAAACTTAACAGGTCCATATATAATGTATTGACCTCGTCGTAAGTCCATAGTTAATAAAAAATGATATATTGAATAGGTCCATTTGATATTCTGGGGGCGAGGAAAGGAGGATTTGCGGATTGACTTTTCATTTTTATCTGTCGCTATGCCAGGCAAGGACATTCATTTTCAAAATCAAAATGTTTTTGTAGTGCCAGTTATAAGTCGTCAATATTTTACGTCCCGAAAGATCGCATAATTGACCAGTGATATTAGTGCGTAATTTGCTGTAAAGCAATTTTCAGTCAAAATATAATTTTCAGTAACAGAGTATTATTAGCTAAGGTACCACCTTCTTTTAGGCGGAGTCGATAGTTAGGCACAAAACCAATCAAAAGTAGGAACAATATATAAATATTGTGAAACCAGTTTTACAAGTTTGTTCAAAATATGCTTTCAGGTTAAAGGTGTGTTTGGTTTGTCAATTCCATTTCAATCAGTTACTTCTGTTCATTTATAACTAAGATTGTTTACATGTATAATTCTATATAGCATCATGATTTAATGGATTTAAAAAAAAAAACTTTTCATAACCTTATTATATATGTTTATATATAAAATAAGGACTTAATTATCTTTGATTTTGATGTGTATTTTTATGGGGGAGTATTACAGAAGGTGTAAAAATAAACTTGGTCGGGTCAAATCGTTGAGATATTCCTCTTACCATTCTATTGTAAAAATGGTATTGTATTGTTTTAATTGAAATGAAATTGACAAATCAAACACACCTTCAACATGCTTGAAAACTATATTTTAAATTTAGATTCTAAACTGGTTTCACAATGTGTATGCACTGTAGTTACTTTTGATTGGTTCTCTACTAACCCTATAATAATTGACGCCGCCCAAAGGAAGGTGGTTCCTTAACTAACAATGATTTCATGGTTCAGCTAGCAAGCAAGCTTACCAAAGAAGTAACCTTTACCTCCACACTCAAGTCATTTTGCTGTAGTAAGATGGTGCAAGTTTAATTTTTTGTGATGTTATTTAAAGGATTATTTTTGACAAAAGGGTGCAGTGGAAATTAAGACGTTAGCTTGACTAATTTATGCACATGCGCTTTTAAATGAAATTAAAAATGGAAAAAAATAGAGGTGGGGTATGTTTTCATCAACAATGCAATATAAGAGTTCCAGAGACAAATAATATAAATAGCTGAATTAGAATATAATTGAAATTGAAAGTGCGCGTGTTCAGAATCACATGACAATAGGCTATCGTCTGCTATTTTGATAACTTCTAGCATCTTTAAAATGTGTTCCACGTAGCAATATATCCGCACAGTCTTCATTTCTTTTTTGGGCAGCTAAAACAAAAGCAGTCTGGTCCTGAAAAATTAAGACATTAAAGTATGATAAAACACAATCGTCAAAATTACCTCAAATGATATGATTTAGTTTACTTGTGGTTTGACAGAGTATACATATACTTTGCATCGGAATTAAACATATTTATTCTAAAACCAGTTGTTGGCATGACACGGGTTATGTTCTTCTCATATATTTTATGACGGTATAATACTAAACCCCTAACAGGAGGGATTGTGCCTGATATTCATATGATGAAGACATAATCTTTCAATCAGTTTAATTGAGGTCTGAAGCTGGCATGTCAGTAACTGCTAGTAGTCTGTTGTTATTTATGTATAATTGTCATTTTGTTTATTTTCTTTTGTTTCCTATTCTGACATCGGACTCGGACTTCTCTTAAACTGAGTTTTACTGTGCGTACTGTTGTACGTTTGTTTTTTCTACATTGGCTAGAGGTATAGGGGGAGGGTTGAGATCTCAAAAAACATGTTTAACCCCGCCGCATTTTTGCGCCTGTCCCAAGTGAGGAGCCTCTGGCCTTTGTTAGTCTTGTATCATTTTTAATTTTAGTTTCTTGTGTATAATTTGGAGTTTAGTATGACGTCCATTATCACTGAACTAGTATACATATTTGTTTAGGGGCCAGCTGAAGGACGCCTCCGGATGCGGGAGTTTCTCGCTGCATTGAAGACCCATTGGTGGCCTTCGGCTGTTGTCTGCTCTATGGTCGGGTTGTTGTCTCTTTGACACATTCCCCATTTCCATTCTCAATTTTATTTAAACAGTATGGTGTATATAAACTAATCATATGTTTTGTTTATTGTTTTGTACATAAATCAGGACGTTAGTTTTCTCGTTTGAATTGTTTTACATTTGTCATGCGGTGCCTTTTATAACTTACTATGCGGTATGGGTTTTGCTCATTGTTGAAGGCTGTACGGTGACTGTAGTTGTTAAATTCTATGTCATTTGGTCTCTGGCGGAGAGTTGTTTCATTGGCAATCATACACATTTTCTTATTTTTATATATCATACATTATCCATTTGTTCATTTGCTTGTTGTTTGTTTTACGTCCAGTGGCAAATATTTCATGCCAGTTCAGAAAGAGAACAAAATAACAACAATCAGATACAATACGTAGATTCTACAAGGTCGACGTGGACCGAGATGAAGGGTGGGAAATTTTAACTGCCATTTGCAAACTAAACGGTATGTCGGATAGGGACAGGCCACCTACGGACCCATACGATCACACAAACATTAAGACATATGATCTTGCTTAGTTAACTGCTGATATCAGTTCCAGCTGTAATAAATAATCTTAGACATTCCCAGGTGAGAATAAGTTAAGGAAAATAATAACCATAATTGTGCTTCATTTTTCCCCTCGATCTGTATAACAATTCATTTATCATCGACATAAGAACTTTTAAAATTATTACATTATTAAATTTTCTTTTTTTTAAAGTGTGCACCCATAAACGAAAAAAAACATTACTAATTAAAAATCTAAGATAAAAAATACATTCACTAAAATCTTTGGAGTAACAATCGATATTGTCTTCTTTAAACAAAAATATCGTGGCATACTTTTTTACCTTATAATTTTTTAGATTTTTGTCAGCTCCTCTGTTTACCAACAACATGACATCATTAACGTTGCCGACACTGACGGCAATATGTAAAGCTGTGTTATTCTGAAACAAGAACATTATAATAATCATTTACTTTATGTCCACTGAGGGCCATTTGCTCATGGTCATACAGTGTAAAGCGGAGTTATTCTGAAACAAGAACATTATAATAATCATTTATTTTATGTCTACTGAGGGCTACTAGTAATTACTCATGGTCAGATATAGGTAAATGATAAACTTATGATCTACTTTCGATAAAAAAAATTATTTAAAAAAAAAATGAAAAATGAAGTAACCAAAAAGCTGTCAAAATGACTGCCAAAACAGTTAAGTGCCATAACTTCTGAACGGCAACTGTGAATTTGTCAATATTAAAGCTGACCTCCTTTTTGTCATCAGTATAAACATAACCCCACAACATTCTTTATGTACCTGACCCGAGTCAGGAACCTACTTTTTCGTAAATTGTTTTGTTATAAATTAATTAGGCCGTTAGTTTTCTCAATTGAGTTGTTTCATATTTTTCATGTCGGAGCATTTTGTAGCCGACTAGACGGTATAGGTTTTTCTCATTGTTGAAGGCCGTACGGTTGCCTATAAGGGAGTTACCATTTGATTTTATAGGGGGTGGGGGGCTAGGATGAAATTTGAAAAAAGACAGGACAGGAGTTTTGAGTACAAAAAAGGCAGGATGAGCAACTAGGCAAAAATAGAACGGACCGAATAGAGTGAAAAAATGGACAGAGATTACAACTAAAAAATAATGTAGGATAAAATTTTTCATCCTAGCCCCCCATAAAAATCAAATGGTAGCTCCCTAATTGTTTACATCCACTTTATTTGAATTTGATAGCCATGATAATTGTCTCATTGGCAACCATACCACATCTCCTTACTTTTATATAAAATTTGAAAAGCATCGGTAAAACGGTTCTTGAGTTATTACACTAAAATGACAAAAAGTACCGTTTTCCAATCTAAGTTGTGTTTGTGTACTGTTGTTTGTCTCAAAGGATGTATAATTGTCTGACAATATAAATCCTTTGTTTGTCTTTCGTTCGTTTTTTGTTTTTTTTTCTTGATGTTGTCAGTTTGTTTTCCACTTGTGAGTTTGAATGTCCATTTGGCATCTTTCGCCTCTCTTTTAGTAACAATCGTAGTAACATCATTGGAGCATAAAGTTTTATTGATTTCATTTAACAATTATAATTATTCAATAACCATGAAAATACCTACATTTTTATCTCTGGCATCAATAAAGGCACCACCTTCGGTAATCAGCATGTCCATGCATTCTGTTTTATTTCTTGCAGTTGCACAATGTAATGGGGTACGATGCTGTTATACATAATAGGAAAATAAGCCTAAACACACTAGTATATATAATTCTATCTTCGCTAACGTTAAAGCAACTATAAAAAAATAATTAGCTTTATTTTGCTATCATTGAAATTAGTATTTGATCTAATGAATTTTAACATATACATATATGAGGTGATGTTTAGATAACTGATTCACATTTTCCATTTTTGCTATAAGAAAACTTCTTGCTATGATGTACTTGTATGGGGGCCTGGACGAGGGGTTCTCAGTTAAAGTACTCTAACGGGAGGAATTGTGGTTGATTTTCATATGATGGAAACATCATTCATTTCAGTAATCAGTATTGTATTACCTAATTTATTATAATTTTGCACTCCATTTTTCTTTGTTCTTAATTTTTGTTTGTCCAGGATTGAAATGAGTAGTAAATTATATGGGGAAAAACCCCATAGGAAGTTGTACATAGTACTTGCCTCTACTTTGTCTCTTACTTCTGTATTAGCACCATACTTCAACAATATGTTTACGCTGTCTGTGTGTCCCTCCCTGGCGGCATGATGCAAGGCTGTATATCCCTACAATAATTGTTTTCTTTTAGTATACTATGATCTATGCAAGTTTTTTTTAATAAGACTAAAAATCTTAGATGCATGATTTTTTATTAGTTGTTATTGGTTTTGAACTAGCTGTCAGTAATTGCGAGTACTCTCAGATCTTCACTTAGTGTCTTTTTTGTTGTGGGTTGTATAGATACGCTGCCACGTCCGGTCTGTGTTTTCGTTAGATGTTTTCTGCTTTGTATCGAGCCTTTTTCAACACATTTTAAAGTTTTTGCTTATGTTGTACTGTTACACCTCTGTCCCAGGTGAGGGGAGGGTTTGGCGCCAGCAAACTAGTTTAACCCCGCTTATTTCTATATGTGACTGTCGTTGGCTCATGTCTGTCATATTTGTTTTTCGTATATTGTTTTGTTATAAATTGTTACATTCACTCTTCATTTGAACTTTGTTGGGTAGTTGTCTCATTGGATAATACCACATCTTATATATTTTTATATTGAAAGCTTAAAAACTAAAACTTGCTACAATATAAATTATGGCCTGTATGCGGATGTTCACAACGATTGTTTGCTTTTATTTAATTACCGCTCCCCTCACATCCTAATATTGGTACTTCAGATGCTCGTGGATAAAACTCACTCTAAAAAGTTCACCTGGGGGAGCTAAGTAGTACATTTGCCTGCGTTATAACACATTATAAATGATAACTTATGGGAATCCCTCCCACCATAATATCTGTATATTAATGATGCCCAAGGGGAATCTTTATCCAAATATCGTCTGTGTATATTGATGATCAGGGAAATGTCTGGGGTGCCCAAGAGAAATGACAATTCACATAATGTCTGTATAAAATCATACCAAATTGGAATCACTCAACATCTTGTCTGTATATACATCTGCCAAAGAGCAATCTTTCTCAGTATGATATCTTTATATAATGATGCCCAAGGGATGTCTTTATATAATGATGCCCAAGGGATGTCTTTATATAATGATGCCCAAGGGATGTTTTACTATAATGATGTCCAAGAGATTTCTTTATATAAAGATGTTCAAGGGATGTATTTATATAATGATGTCCAAGGGATGTCTTTATATAATGATGTCCAAAGGATGTCTTCATATAATGATGTCCAAGGGATGTCTTTATATAATGATGACTGCAGATGCAACAGGTATAAAACAGACCTCAATCTGCTGTGCTCGATTGCAACGTTCATTGTATTGCAATGGCAATTAGAACGGCAGACAAAAAATTGGCTGTTCACGATAGCAAAAACAATTGTTTTGAATGGTAATTGGGAACACATATCCTAGCTACCGTATCTGTCATAAGTATAGCCGGTAATGTGGTGTGTACCTGAAAGCTCGGGGATTTTCTCGTGTTCACATCAATTATCTTGATTACTGGATATGGTATGATAATGTGGTGTGTAGCTGAATCCTCGGAAATTTTCCCATGTTCACATCGATTATTTTGATTACCGGACATGGTATGATAGCAGTCCATCCAGGGCAGGATATTTTTACTTTTCAAAATCTTTATCTGCCGCTTTGATCTGTAATGTGCTATTTAATGCGTTTTGTTTACACGTCTGTAATGTATAACTATGGAATTGTGCGCTTTTCTGGATGTTTGTTTTATTTTTTCTTTATATGTTTGATGTTATCCTACACATTTTCGTGCATCTTGTAACACAATATTTTCTTAGGAGAAATAATCAATTTCATTATTTGACTATTATACTACCAGTATTATAATAACACAACTATAGTTTAAAGGGGTACAGGGGCGGATCCAGCCATTTTTATGAGGGGGGTTCCAACCATATGTCCCCATTCAAAAGCATTGATCATCAAACAAAAAGGGGGTATTCCAACCCCCGGAACCCCCCTCCCCCTTGGATCCGCCACTGGGGCATTAGCTGTCCAATTGATATTCCCCAATTTGACTCAAATTCTCATATTTGATTTATAACATACTAAAATGTATATCCAAATTGCAAAAAGTTTAAAATAAACAATTAACAATGCATGGACTCGATCATATGTATTAAATTTTCGTGTGTATTTCAGTCTAGACGTCATCTAATTATAACCATCGAGATGACCTCCGAAGACTACCGACGGTCAAATAACCCGATATAAACATAAAAATACATATAACTAGATAGCGACCACGTCCAATTGGATTTTTCTAGGTCTGTTTAATTTCATATTGTAGGTTTAAAAGTAAGTTTATCATCGTTTTTACATGTATGAGAACGATTTTTTGTGGATCGAATCAGTCAACCAAATAGTTCATCCTTGTTTCACTTTCAATGTTGACATTCTTTTCCTTTTAATAGCTGAATACATGCGTAATTCAAGCCCAGCTAAGGGGTTAAATTGAAGGTCACATGAATATGGATCCAATGAGGTCGAATTATTCACTTGCAAGTGAATAATTCATCAGCGATGTTTCTTAGCTTATTTTGACAAAACTGAACCCAGTTGGCTGCTAAAAGCGAATTATTACTTCACTATTTCACTTTTATTAATAATTTAACAAAACAATTCATATTTTATTTTTTTTATATCTCGTAGCTAATGACTCTTCAAACACAAAAAAAAAAAAACACATTATAAATGTTCACAACGACAAAAACGGCCTATGCATTGCGTATATTAGTATATTAGTATATTAGTGTATGCTAGGAGTGTATACATAAGTAATTCAAGAAACAATTGTACATTTTGAATTTCTGCAAGTTATTTATGGGATGATCGAAATATATGAATTGTGCCGTGTGTTGAAGTCTATGGTAATACATCAGTGGTGCAACTTTAAATTATACAGTACCAGAAGTTTATTATTCAAGTCAGTGTTTTATTTGTGGCTTTTAAATAACAGTATACAAACTAAACGAAGATTTTCTTCTTTGTTTATTATTAAAAGAGGTGAAAATTACTGTTCAATCTTGATTTAGCTTTGATTTTATAGGATTAGTGTTGGAAAATAAATCGTTTAATGTGAAATGCAGTGCATTCATAACTAAAAGGAATAATACCATTAATGACAACAACGTAATCGTTTTATAGCTGTCGATATTGGTATATATACATATTGGTCTAATGACAACCATTTCTAACTCTTTTTGTTTTTTTAAATGTCAATTCTCGTTAACCTGAATTTGACGGTATGAGGCTTACTATTATAAAAGTAGAAATGATTTATTTACCAATATGATATGCATGGTATAACTTACAAAATTCGATGGCGAGACAAAATTGACATCTGCTCCGAGTTGTAAAAGTTTTTGGACCTGCGCTGTTCGTCCGAACTTTGATGCATTAGCCATTTCCTGTTCAAAATATAATTGGATTAAAGATAAATCAAAGTTCTGTATGCTCAACTGGTGAATTTTGTTCCAATACTATGAGAGTTTGGATGGAGGGGGGGTGTCCATCATTTCTTTATTCTGTAATTTTTCATGTAATTTTTTCTCTATTCTATATATTTTTGCACAATATTCCTTATTCTTTACATCTCAGCACCCCATAATATTCTATTCTTTATTTTTTTTGGCCTGTTTTTCTCTATTCTTTTCTTTTTCCCATTTTTTTTAAATATCACTTATCTTGTAATTGCACATTAATAACGCTTAATTTAATTGAATAATAAAATAATTGAGGAGACTTACTCAGTTTTGATAATATTTTGATAGAGTTGAAAATGAACTCCTCTTAACAATGGAATCTGACATAATAGCTCTCAAATTATTGTTCTTCTCTTTAATAACAAACTTTGTTAAGGGTTAACAATACGCACATTGAATTTCCCAATGCATTTTTTTTTTCTACAGTATTCATGTAGTGTATAAGGTATAAGGTTTCATATAGTTGGTAAGTATAGACTCGTTTTGAGTGCAATCTATGAAACAATGTCAGATAAATTGTGAACTGAAATTACAAAGAAAAACATCAAGCAAACAAAGAAAAACAAAACCATAAAAAACGAAAACAAAAACGAAATAAAATAATAGAAAAAGAAATAAAAACATTGTAAATTTTCAAGTACAAAAGCTTACAATTAAAGCTCACCCTGTTAAGCCGAAGTCTGTTTTCCTCTCTGATTTCTGTCTGTGATTTGATTGCTATATCCCTGGCTATATTCATCTTGAACGTTATCGATGTACATTTGAATCACACTGATAAGATTACGATATCTCCTAGTATAACGAAAAACAGAAAATTGTAGTTTTTTTCCTAAGAATAACAGTAAGTTCCATCGGATACCATCTAAAACAATTGACTTTTAGTTCAATAAATCTTCCAGCCGAAAGGAACTACCTGTTGTCTACTAGTTTGTTGTCTAGACTATGTCAACAGTAAAGAGACAATGCAGCACACCGGCTCAATAGTATATGTTTGAAACTTCCAGTGTAAACGAATTTAAAACATGTTTTGTCATTCTTCACTACAACATTAATATTTAAAAACTTTAAGTCAAGTGCATAACAGTCAATTACTTATCTAGAATAAGTTAAAAAGAAAACAAGATCAAAATACACTTTGTTTTAAAATTCGTGTTAATTAAACGGTGAGCAATTAAATGCTACTAACAAAAAGATCTTTTCGTTTCATTTCAGTCACCACTTGAGTGGTTGCATTTTTTTTTTACATTATAACTATGTAAGGACATTTAACATACTGAATAACATGTTCGTTCCTTTCTCTTATTGAGTGAACGCGCAACGGTGTCATGTAAGCGAAATTATTGAATTTCCATTAACAGTTTTTTTCTTTTAAAATTTATATTGGAACTAATCTAGAAAGTAGGAAATTTGACAAGGTGTCCACAAAGCTATCAATGCGATACAAATAATTGTGTGTGTTTGGAGTTTAGTGTGACGTCCATTTTCATTGAACTAGTACACATTGTTTAGGGGTCAGCTGAAGCCCGCCTCCGGGTGCGGGATTTTCTCGCGCTATGTTGAAGACCCATTGGTGGCCTTCGGCTGTTTTCTGCTCTTTGGTCGGGTTGTTGTCTTTGACACATTCCCCATTTCCATTCTCAATTTTAGTACTATGGATATATGTGAAGATTTCATTGTACTATGTGCTGCAGTTTTAATTTTTTGTGTTGCTTACAAAATTTGCATTATATTTTAACTTGTAGTTGTTTATTTCAGTGGTGGATTTTTGCTGCTGCCAGCTAACTGTCTTGCCAACAATGATTGCCATTTTTATGCCTTGCCAACAATGATTACTATTCTATGCCTTATCAACAATGATTGCCAGTTTTATGTCTTACCATTTGCATGTTGCTATAAATAAAATCATTGCTGAAAAATAGTACTTTAGAAAAATACAAATGCTTTATTCCAGTATAGACATTTTTTTTCAAGGGATGACAAAAAATAACCTTTCCTTAACATTCCTATTTTTCTATACATCGACTTCTTTGAAGGAATGACACAGTTTTACATGAACCTGTTAATTAGTTGCAGTTGACAGTAAACGCAGCAACACATTTACAACATGAAAGACTAGAATATAATTAAATGACTATTATATCTTTTTTGTTGATCTTTTATTTCTGATCATTACTTTAAATTTCAGTTTTTCTATTATCGTTTTCTTTCTGATATTGTTTTACATCTAACCCCCTTGTTTTATCAATTTTGTATTTACATTGTGTCATAGATTAAATTTATTCGTTCAGTGTATGTTCACTTGTTTTTGTTAATATGTCTTTTGATTGAGTAAAGCCATTTCAATTGGTATTTTATAGTGTGTCTTTCGATGTTACACTATTGTTTCAGGTAGGGTGAAGGCTGGCGCCTATTAAAACGTTTAAACCCGCTGCATTTTTTTTGCACCTGTCCTAGGTCAGGAACCTGATGTTCAGTGGTTGTCGTTTGTTGATGTGGTTCATAAGTGTTTCTCGTTTCTCGTTTTTTATATAGATTAGACCGTTGGTTTTCCTGTTTGAATGGTTTTACACTAGTAATTTTTGGGGCCCTTTATAGCTTTCTGTTCGGTGTGAGCCAAGGCTCCGTGTTGAAGGCCGTACTTTGACCTATAATGGTTTACTTTTACAAATTGTGACTTGGATGGAGAGTTGTCTCATTGGCACTCATACCACATCTTCTTATATCTTTTAGCATAATATGTTGCGTGTAAAAATGGTAATTAAAGGGCAATAACTCCTATAAGGACTTGATTGAAATTTCATTCGTGTTGATATATATGCAGATCTTGTCATGCTGATTATATTTCTTTATCAACTATAGTTAAAGCCAAATATGCAAAAAATGGGGGAAAAGGGGGGGGGTGTCATCATTAAAGGGCAATAATTCCTACAAGGAGTCAACTAGCGATTTCTGCCATCTTGACAAATTTGTAGAGAATTTCCTGATGATAATTTATTTCTGTGTACAGTTTTTCTTTATCTATATGTTTGTCCAAAATGCAAATATTGGTCAAATTCGTCATCTAGGGGCAATAACTCCTATAAGGAGTCTACCATCTATTTCAGCCATGACAAATTTGTAGATCTTGTCCTGCTGAAATTTTTTGCATTTAAAAGTTTCTTTTTTTCTATTATAATTTTCAAGATAATAAGCCAAAGCGCAAATAATGATAAAAATCATCATTTATATAGGGGCTATAACTCCTATAAGGAATCAACCTACGATTTCGGCCATGTTGACTTATTAGATGATCTTGCTTACTGGTTATTTTTGCTATTTTAAGATTCACTTTATCTGTTATTGTTTTTAAGATAATAGACAATAAATGGAGAATGTGTCCATGTAACACAGATGATGCCCCCGCTTGCATATAACGTTATAAAGGGACATACTTAAGAACGGTAAAAGTGATGCTACCCTTTATTCGTATTTGATCTGAGTTGAGTTTTGTGATAATAAGCATTGTGTATAATTTGTATAACATTTGGTTGAGGCAAACTAAAGTTAGAGAACGCTAAAGAAAAATTCAGCAATTTTATACGACCGCAAAAAAATTGCGTTCGTATATTGCTATCATGTCGTCGTCGTCCGAAGACATTTGGTTTCCGGGCAATAACTTTAGTATAAATGAATGGATCTCTATGAAAATGTTCAATAGCAAGGTTGGGATTGATTTTGGTGTAATACCACCATTGATTTTCCCCTATTAGTCTTTGTTAAATTTGCACTTTTCAAATAATTGTGCAGAAGTTATCTTTGTTTCAAATAAAGAAATACTTGGCATGAGTAAAGTTTTATCCTGTCCAGTACTATAGACAAAATTTCACATAACATTTCATTGCATATAAGAAAATAACCATCACTGGAAGTTAACCAATCAAATTTTAATCCCTTTTTTTCCTGTGTACAAGCTTTAGTAACCTTGTAACCTCAAGTTTCTAAAATATTCTATAGTAACACCAAATAAAAAAAAAATAATGGTGCTTTGAAACACCCAAGATGTATGTTTATGACTCAGAAATTTTTTACTGCAATGAAATGTAGGATGGATTTCCTACAACTGTCAAATTCAAGGGAATATTTCTTTTCGACCCTTTTTCGTATTACACCTTTTGGGGGTTATGGTCCCAACTGTTTAGGAATTCGGGGTCAAAAAGGGACAAAAAAAGGCATTTTTCTAGTTTCCGGACAATAACTTGTGTATAAGTGTATGGATCTCTGTGAAATTGTACCACGAGGTTTCATACCACAAAGGGAAGGTTGGGATTGACTTAAGGGGTTATGGCCCAAACCGTTCAGGAATAAGGGGCAAAAAAACGGGAGAAATCAAGGTTTTTCTGGTTAATGGACAATTACTTAAGAATTAGTCTATGGATCTCTATGAAATTGAAACACAAGGTTCCATTCTACAAAGGGAAGGTTGGGTTTTATTTTAGGGGTTATGGCCCAAACTGTTCAAGAATAAAGGGCAAAAGGGGGGGGGGGGGGCAAGGTTTTTCTGGATTCCGGACAAATACTTAAGTGGATTTCTATGAAATTGTACCACAAGGTTCCATACCACACACAGAAGGTCGGGGTCGATTTTGTGGGTTGTGGCTTGAATCGTTAAGAAACTAGAGGCCAATAAAACTGGCTAAGCTGGTTCTAACATAAATTATTTCTGATCAATATAAAGAAACAACAAATACTGATATGGCAGGAGATACACACCAAACAGGGTGTGTAAATTATTATATTTAGTTTGTAAACAGATTTACTAAGTATTGCCAGAGACATATAATACAATTGTATTATATGTCTCTGGTATTGCACAACAGCAAGAAATCTTCAATTGAAAATAAATACAAATCTTTTAACCAATTTCAATGAGGACTAATTTAAAGCCTTGAATTGTTTGAGGTTTTTACCATGTATTACTATATTGGATATTTGGACATTTTTAAATAGGTCTACATTGAGGTCCAAAGTGTCAAAAATTAGACTTTGTTTGATTTCATCAAAAACTGAATTCTTGTGGTTCTATATTCTGAATCTAACTGTGCATTCAGATTTTTAATTTTGGGCCCTGTTTTCAAATTAGTCCATATTAAGGTCCAAAGGGCCCAAAATTAAACTTTGTTTGAATTCATGGTTTTTTTTTATATGCTGAATCTAAATGGAATTAGATTTTGGATATTGGACCATTAAGTAGATTAAATGTCTCATTTCAAATTTTTAAGTTATCTGACCACATTTATTCTGTGTCAGAAATCTATCATGTGTCAAATATTTAATCACTATCCAAATTCAGAGCTTTATCAAGCTTGAATATTGTGTCCATACTTGCTCCAACTGTTCAGAGTTCAACCTATGCGGTCATATCCAGCTGCTCCAGGCGGAGCACATTTTTCCATTTGTAAAGGTGCACAACTCTAGAATGATAAAAGTGACGCCACCAAAATTCATACTTGATCTGTGTTTTGTGATAATTAGCATTGTGTATAAGATTCATAGCATTTGGTTGGGGCAAACTAAACCAATTTTGGGATGTAAGGACGGACAGACAATTGTAAAACTTACAGCGGGGACATAAAAATAAAAGAATTCGGTAAAAAATGGCTTTTAAGGGCAATAACTCCTATAAGGAGTCGATGAGTGTTTTGGCCCTTGTTTGATTTATTTCATTAGATCTTGTCTTCTGACCATTTCTGCCAATTAAAGTTTCTCTCTGTCTGTTATGGTTTTTAAGATAATAGGCAAAAATAAAAGAAATTTGTAAAATTCATCATTTAAGGGCATTGATGCCTAAATCAGACAAAAGGTGCAGTTTACCAATATGTTCAATTTTTAGCAATGTTGGTTGGAAGGCAAGATTATATTGGATATAAATTTTAAACTAGATATAATCCAAAGGATGAGTGTGGCTAAATTTGATTTTTGGCCCAGTAGTTTCAGAAGAAGATTTGGGAAAGTTAACAGACCACATACGCCAATTGATGAGCATAGCTGACTTGGCTCTTTGGGCCAGGTGAGCTAAAAAAACAATCTCAGGTCCTACTGTGGAACTTACATATCCTTCTCTATATGTGGCACCAGACATTAGATGATATGTGAGCTATAGCCCACTAATTATACCCTTGCTCATGACATAAGTGTCAGGCAAGCAGGAGATAGAAAACATCTCAGATATTGATTATGTGTATCCCAGTATGGCAAAAACAGATCAAGTTTTATGTATATATAATATTATATGAAGAGACTATGACTTGTGGATGCTGTGAAAAATGTGACTAATTTCATGTATGACTTGTATATGCTGAGGAAAATACAACCATTTTTTTATAGGCAGACACATGGCTGGATGGAAGTAGAAAGAGATCAAAACCAGTATACATCCCCCTCCTTTGAAGTGGAAGATAAATATTGACCAGGTGTCTATTCAAGTACTATTATAAAACAATAAGGGGAATAGGTCAATATACATTTTTTGTTAATCACTGAATGCAGATAAAGAACATGAAAAATTCTGCATATCCTAGTGTTTGTTGCACACATTTAAACCAATGAAGTCATCATTACCAGGTAAATTATTCTGATAATATGATGTTACAAATATGTATTAAAATTACATTCCATTTCAAATATCTTTGTTGAAAAAGTATTGATTTTTTAGTTTGAGCGTTCCTGGTGAGGGTAAATATAGAAAAGCGCTATAGATGCACAAATTTTTTAGAAAGTGTTATCTTCATTGAAATGGAAAATTGTCTATGCAAATACAGCATATTCATAGGCCATTTTTTAATGCAAATATCATGCATCTTTCTAAAGGACATCAGGTCCAGATTTTCTTAGAATTTAAAAAGAAGAATTTTACACAATTGCCATATGAAGAGTTTCCAACAGTTGTAGATTACCTCTCTAGGCAAGTTCAACCTCGAATCTTTATATCGTTGAGATTATCTTACTTTTTTTCCAATGCTAAGTACCTATATGTATGCTTTACTAACAGTGTTAGGTTTTTCTTCTAAAAATCTCAGATTTCTGCTGTTTTTGTATATTTTGGAATGAAGTTTTATGCAGCTATAATTTTAAATCATCTGAATTCTTTTATAAAAGGGCCAAAATTAGGCTCATTCTTCGCATCAAACGATATAAAAAATAAATAGGGAATGTGTCCATGGGACACAGATGATGCCCCCGCTTGCATATCATGTAAAGTTATAAAGGGACAAAACTGAAGAACGTTAAAAGTGACGCTACCCAAATTTGTACTTGATCTGAGTTTAGTGGTAATAAGTTTTGTGTATAAGTTTTATAACATTTGGTTGAGGTAAACTTAAGTTAGAGAACAGAAACGAAAAATTCAGCAATTTTTCCATTGGTAAAGGGGCATAACTCTAGAACGGTTAAGGGACACAACCAAAATTCAAACTTGATCTGTGTTTTGTGGTAATAAGCATTGTGTATAAGTTTCATAACATTTGGTTGAGGCAAACTAAAGAAAGAAAACGGAAACAAAAAATTCAGCAATTTTTCCATTTGTAAAGGGGCATAACTATAGAACGGTTAAAGTGACGCTACCGAAATTCAAATTTGATCTGTATTTTGTGGTAATAAGCATTGTGTATAAGTTTCATAATATTTGGTTGAGGCAAACTAAAGTAAGAAAACGGAAACAAAAAATTCAGCAATTTTTCCATTTGTAAAGGGGCATAACTCTAGAACGGTTAAAGTGACGCTACCTAAATTCGAATTTGATCTGTGTTTTGTGGTAATAAGCATTTTGTGTAAGTTTCATAACATTTGGTTGAAGCAAACTAAAGTTAGAGAACGGAAACCAACTTTGGGACGTACGGACGGACAGACATACATACAGACGGACAAGGGTAAAACTTAATGCCCCCTCCGCTATGGCGGGGGCATAAAAATGAATCTTTTTTTATCTGAAAGAAAAATTCTAAATTTTCTTCTGATAGAATTTTGGTTTTAAATTGGAACTAATGTCCTTATTTATTAATGTGTAATACTGTGTAAAGATTGCACGATTTTTTTCAGGAAAAAACCTGTGTGAAACAAAGTCATGGAATATTGGCTTAACTTTTCTACCCATCTATACAGTCAGTGCCAAATGCGAAGTCTTCAATCAAGTTATGGCAATAAAATTAACAACAAAATGTAGACTGTTATTTTTTTTTATTCGTGAATGGTTTTCCCACAAAAAATATTAAGTTAATGAGAGTCATCTCAGAAAAATGAGAATAATACTGGAAGCACTTCTCTTTGATTAAAGATGATGATAAATCTGTAATCTCTGCGACAACTTTCAAACATAGCTCACATTAAAAAAGAATTTGCATGATTGAAACCAGTTTAAGAAGTAAATTACTAAAGGAAAAAGCTTTTACTATAATTCCCTCTTGGAATTTGGTTATGATACCAATATGCAGTACAGTAGTTCAAAAGCTTTGCTTACTTCAATGACATTTTCGTACATGGTTCCAGCAAGTTTTAAAGTTTAACTAACTGATTTCATATTAGATGAGAAATTTCATCAATTTCCAAGAGCAAAAGCAGCACCTAAATATTCCAAAGTTTGAACATCATTCTCAGAAACTATCATATTCCTAGTTACTGATATTGACCAATTATACAATGTCCAAATATTTCAAAGTATCAAGAGTAGGAATCTTGAATTCTTATGCATACATAAATGTACTTTTTTAACTTGAGCATCACAAATAAATCAAATAAATTACACAGCATTGGCTTTATCTGTCAATTCTCCCTCCCCCCTTTTTTTTGTATTCAAATGAGTAAAATATTTCGAAATATCACCTTATTCATGTGAAATTAAAGCATTTTGTTTTGAATGAAAAACTTAATCATAGATTGAAGAGTACACAGTACAATTTCTTATACAATAACCAAATGTTTCATAGAATTTTAAAGCAAATGCATTAGCTACATTTCTTGCAAATTTAGAATAGTCATATTCAATTATGCCATGTTGTGACATTAAACTCCAATAGAATCCACAGTATATTGAAATCAATATAACAAGTTTGTTGTTCCTACAGGACTTTTCTATGAATCTCTTTTTATATTCCATAAAAGTCGTAGGAAAGCTTTGTACCAAGTACACTGAAAATTCAAAGTGACATTCATTCATAATTTTTTCTTCTTTTGGTGTTATTTGCAATTTATGAAATGTGGTCACCTTGATCTTTGACCTAGATGACAATCAGATTAGATAGAGATAACCTGAAGCATTGATACCAAATTTGGAATCATGCAACAATATATTTATGATGCTATGTATTAAATGCATTAGATTTTCTCATGGTTCTCATATAATGTGTCAAGCACAAAATTATTCATATGTAACTGCAAATAATTATGTGCAGTTTAGTATAATGTTGTCAATACTTTTGTAATTTTATGAATTTCATAAGAATGTAATTTTTCAAACCCTAATTCAAGCTCAATTTTCCATTCAGGGTATTACTGAAAATATTTGAAACTTTTCTCAATAGAAAAATTATAAACAATTGGTCAAGCTCACTCTCAAATAATATACCAAGTTTAAGAACAAATACTACATCTGATTTCTTTTGTGTCAAAACAGATTTACTGGCATTTGATTGTACAGATGACATATGTAACTGTTTATTTTTTTCCATATATCACAACTTATTTAAACTTTGACCTTCATGCAAATTTCCTCTGATTCATCCAGTAGTTACACACAACACACAGTAAAATTATAAGCTCTCACATAGTCACTCAAATTGGATATCCAAACATTGCATGGGCGACAAGAAAAAATTGTTCACTTTAATATTTATCTTAAAGGAACTCAACTTGTGATACTGTCAACAAACTAATGTTTGATGTAGAAATAAATTAAACTATTTTGTTGTCATAACATATTGAAAATGTTTATAAGAAAGAAGGCAAAATTGTTTATATGAAATACCACTGTAGCTTTGTTCTTTTGTTATCTAATAACTTTTGCATTCTTAAAGAAAAGCACTTTCTGTGGTATCATAAATCCGTATGGATCCATTTATAGATCATTAATACAACATATTTGCTCATTTTTTTTCCAGACAGATGCTTGAGCCATTACACATTACGCAATTGAAAATCAAAAATAGAAGCTTGGGCAATCACATGGGTTCACAGTCGCATAGTTTATCTTGATAATCTTCTGAGCAGCATCACACATGCACACACGTAAACAAAACCGAACACCACTGGCTAGCTCCCGCTTGAACCAATGACCAGCATTGTATTAAATTGTTTATGATGAAAATACCAACTAAACTTCATATGCCTGAAAAATAAAACATTTTAAAATATTAACTTCTATGGATCTAAACTTCGCTTTTATTGGCCTCTTCAATAAAAGGATTTGTTCTGACCACACTATGATAGATACAACCACAACATTTGAATACAGGAATGATGATGATGAATGGCTGCTTAACTTCAAGCGGCAAATTAATATGCATATTCAGGATGAGAACATGTTAATATAATATGAATAGTAACCATGCTTTGTACTAGACAGACATGCTGAGCTGAATTTTTAACGTGCTAGTTCACAAGGTATCAGTCCACAGGAAGACATGTCACCCCACCCGGACACATTATTCTGTCTCTGAGCCGACCAGTCTTTGCTCTTACTCCTTAATGCTGTGTGCTTAGCGGAGAAGCAGCAAATACCAATTTTAAAGTCTTTGGTTTGACCTGGCCGGAGTTCGAACCCACGACCTCACGCACTCGAGGCCAGAAACGATGAACAAGTATATTATAAATGTGATGTGGACAAAGTTATGTTCTTGAAGTAATTTGATTTTATGTACTGTGGATACATTAATATTCATGTGATATCAATTTTTCGTGGATATAGGTGAACCATCAATTTTTAAAAATGTTAAATAAAGAACAAATTTTCTACAGATATATAGGCAAACATTGGCAAAACCGCAAACATCCACAAAAATACCACTTTTCCTGAATCCACGAAAAATGAGTACCCACGAAGCGCAATGAATCCACAGTTCCACATATAACTTGAATTTGCAGGCCTCTATCTGATATGGATTCTCAGAATGATACCGGGGTCGAATGAAAAATGCCATGTCATAATTTTAAATTACATGCTAAAGAACATTGTGCTTCCATTAAGAATTAGTCAACTTTAACTAGTTATTGATATGAAATATTATAACAACAAAGACAATAGACACACCTATACCATAAAATAAATGCATGATATTATCTAATGAAAATGGAAGAACCTTATAAGATGAGATATTATACCACATACCAATGAAAACACAAAAATTCCCTTCCCCCTTAAAAACAATACCATATATTACTAATTTTTCTAAAAATTAAATTAATTAATATAATGAAGAGACGACAGGTACTTGGTTGAAAAGTAGTTCAAAAACATGGTATTCTATACAACTGTGAGTTGAATTTATCAATTTTTGTCTGAAGATTTTAGTGAGTAATGCAATGTAATGTAAACTAATTTTGTTATTTTGAACTTGCATTTGGTAACTGCATTTTCTTTAGTTTGCGTCAACCAAATGTTATGAAACTTATACAAAATGCTTTATCTTCTATTTTGTAACTTGATTCTTATTTTTCCATGTAGTTTGCCCAAAAAGAATAACTGTGTGTGTTTTCTTGAATTGTTTCAATATTGTATTAACATATTTCAGATGGAGGCAGGGGTTTTGGGATAGATTTTACACCGGTGTATTAATATACATACCATTATCATGAAGGCTCAAATTTAGCCATTACTTTAGATACTTCTGAGAACCATGCTGCTACATCTACATCTTCTCTTTCATATTTCTTAATAAATACATGTTCCTGGAAATATACATTAAAGGTGTACCAACTAAATTTCATTAACCTCTAACATCTACACTAATTTCTTTCATTTAAGGAATGACTGTAATATTTTTTCTGTCTATGAAGAAATAACATAAAAAATATGGTGCACACTGAATAACCCACGTAGCGGGTTATTTAAAAGTGTGCACCACATTTTTATGTTATTTCGAATAGACAGAAAAAACAGTAAAGTCATTTCTTACAATTTAATTCTAAAAAGGAGTAAATCATGATAAAACGTTGATGACGTCGCGGCCACATGACAAAATTATGTCTATGAGCTGATAGACAAAACACTTTCAGCCAATCAGAAAACGTGTTACATCCAAAATTAAATTATTCTGTAATATGACTACTAATAATCCATATCTCTAAATTTTCTTCCTATCTGTTTTTCTCAAATAATTCGAAATTCACATACACTTAACTGGTTAAAGTGGTATATTTCATCAATGTTGGGGAAGAATATATTTAATGTAGAATACAAGTGGTACTAGCAAAAAAAAAAAAAAAAAAAAAAAAGAGTTAAATATAGGCTCCAGATTCTATAATTTAACTTATATCAGTGTCCATATTTTATCTGTCTAAGGGCAATAACTCCAAAATTATTTTTTTGGTTCTTATAAAAAAATTTTCATATATATCCTACAAAAAGTTTAGGCATGATATTGCAAACAATGTTATTATCCATATAATTTCCATTTTCAAGGGACATAACTCTAATAAAAATAGTTAATCAGGGCTGATTAACCAACACTTCCAAAACCTTGTTGATATTATAAATCTTCGATATAAATTTCATACAAAGGAATGTAGGTGCATAGAATGCAATGTTTAATATAAATTACATTTACAAAGGGACAGAGGAACATAATTCCAGTACTGACTTTAGAACCCGCCCAAAACATAACTAAAATAATCCTTACTTTTTTAATTTTGTAAAAACCTGACAAGAAATGTTGGTTTGAGAGTCTTAACAATGCAATTCCATAAAGTATTTACATTTCCAAGAATAACTTGAATAAATCCTGTAAAAATAATTGATGGGCACTGATTTTTAAACTCGTCCCAGAAATTACTGATATAAACCTTTGATATAAATTTCACAACAATCCAAAGAATTTGAGGCTTGAGGGCATTTACAATGAAATTTTCTATGTAACTTGTATTTCCAAGGGGCATAATTTCTTTAAAAATATGTGATCTTGTAAGGGATATTGCTGATATAAATCAATGATATAAATTTCATAAAAATCTAGCAGTCATTGTACACTGTATAGCTCTTAGAAGACAGGATGGACTGACAGACATATAGGGTTAAAAAATTATGACCTTTCCTTCAGAGCGAGGGTATAACATCCACTGGTTAGAAACAAACAAAAGGACATCAAACATTTGGCAGCTGTTGTGTGAAACTATTTTATAAATACTGATTAAATACTTACTAATAATTTCTTATACTTTGGTCTCTTTTTATAATCTTTCGTTAAACTGAAGAAATAAAAATAAACAAAGATATATTATAAGCACAATCTTGTCTCTTCACTAAAACATTTATGAGACTAAATAACATAGTACATGCCGACTCTCTCTGCATAGTGATATTTAAAATATGGTATTTTCATATAAACAATGGATCTTAAAAACCAAAGTATCATCAGCTCAACAAAAGCTTGCTTACATAATGTGATTTATGACTTTTGTTACAGCACAATGTGATATCTGACTGTTGTTATAGCACAATGTATTATATGACTTTGTGATATCTGACTGTTGTTGTGGAACACAATGTGATATCTGACTTGTTATAGTACAATGTATTATCTGACTATGTGGTATGACTGTTGTTGTGGCACACAATGTGATATCTGACTGTTGTTATAGCACACTGTATTATCTGACTTTGTGATATCTGACTGTTGTTGTGGCACACAATGTGATATCTGACTGTTGTTATCAATCTGATACCTGATTGCTGTTATGGCACAATGTAATATCTGACTGTTGTTATCAATCTGATATCTGACTTATCATGGCACAATGAAAGAAATTTGAGCTTGCTTTAAAGTTACTGTGAGTATTCGTAATACAGTATAATAATAATATTGTTCAATATTTTGTGTTATCTTTTTGAAATTTATTTTTAAAAGATTAAAGTGCTTTTCCTTTACTGATTTTAATTGTATGATCTTTTATGTACATATTGTGATTTTAATTTATGATCTTTTATGTACATATTGTTAACAGTTTACTGCTTGGGATTAAAAGGTGGATGGTTGAGAAAACTCACCAAGCTCTAACAAATGAACAAAACTCATGTGAAAACTCACTCTTACAAATTAACAAAACTCGTGTGAAAACTCACCAATCTCTAACAAATAAACACAAGAGTGGACACACAGAAATGTCTCGCCTGTCGTGTATTCCTAATTGAAGTTATGTTGAAAGTAAATGCTATCAGACATACATTATAAATTTTAAGCTGTAAATAATGAGATAATGTCGCTGCTGCTGATGCCTGTATGAACGCTAAAGCTGCTGCCAGGCCTGCTGAAGACAACTATCATAGTGTCTTCATACTTCTAATTGTATAAGTTATTATCCGCTATATGAAGATATGCTGGATAACTGTGGTTAAGAGTGAAATAACTTAGTGATGTACCATTGATATTGATTATTGTGATTAAAGATGGCAGTGGAGAATGAAAAAACTAACATTGACCTATGAACCATGTGAATAAGGTCAAGGTCATATGAACCCTGCCAGACAGACAGATACGCCTTACAATCATTCCATACACCAAATATAGTTGACCTATTGCTTATATTTTCTAAGAAACAAAGTTCAGCATTAAAACTTAATATTAACCAATGAGCCATGTAAAAGGGGTTAAGGTCATATGATACCTGACGGACAGACATAAACACCTTGTAAACATTCCATACACCAAATATAGTTGACCTATTGCTTATAGTTGAACAAAAATAGACCAAAACACCAAATTTTAACACTGAGCAATGAACCGTGAAAATCAGGTCAAGGTCAGATAAAACCTGTGAGACAGACATGTACATCCTAAAATATTTCCATACACCAAATATAGTTCACCTAATGCATATAGTATAAGAAAAAAGGACCAAAACTAAAAAACTTAACTTTGACCACTGAACCATGAAAATGAGGTCAAGGTCAGATGACACCTGCCAGTTGGACATGTACACCTTACAATCATTCCATAATCCAAATATAGTTGACTATTGCTGAAAGTATTAGAAAAATAAACCAAAAACAAAAACTAAACATTGAGCAATGAACCGTAAAAATGAGGTCAAGGTCAAATAAAACATGCCAGACTGACATGTACATCCTAAAATATTTTCATACACCAAATATAGTTGACTTATTGCATATAGTATAAGAAATAAAATGCTCCGCTGGGCGCAGCTTGATAAGACCGCAGAGGTGGAACCCTGAACAGTTGGGGCAAGAATGGACACAACATGCAAGCTTGATACAGCACTGAATTTGGATTGTGATTAAATATTTGACACAGCATAGGTTTCTGACACACAATGAATGTGGTTTAAGAAGTTAAAAAATTTAAATTTACCTATTCAAACCATATCATTATTATTTGCTTTTATATATAAATCAGAAATAACCAATTTAAAATGGAAAATTTTAAAGAAAAAAAGAGGAAAAAAAATCCCTCCCCCAAATTTTTTGAACCCCCTTATGATTCATCACCCCAAACACAATCCCAGCCTTCCCTTTGTGGTATGGTACCTTGCAGTACAATTTCAGAGAGATCCATACACTTGAACACAAGTTATTGTCTGGAAAATAGAAAAATGCTTGTTTTAAGGCCCCTTTTTGGCCCCAAATTCCTGAACTTTTAGGGCAATTACCCCAAACTCAATTCCAGCTTTCCCTTTGTGATATGGAACCTTGTAGTACAATTTCATAAAGATCCATACACTTACACACAAGTCATTGTCCTGAAACTAGAAAAAGGCTTGTTTTTTGCCCCTTTTTGGCCCCTTATTCCTAAAATTTTGAGGCAATTACCCCCAAAATCAATCCCAGCCTTTCCTTTGTGGAATGGTACCTTGCAGTTCAATTTCAGAGAGATCCATACACTTGAACACAAGTTATTGTCTGGAAACTAGAAAAATGCTTGTTTTTTGGCCCCTTCTTGGCCCCTTATTCCTAAACGTTTTGGGCAATTACCCCCAAACTCAATTTCAGCTTTCCCTTTGTGATATGGAACCTTGTTGTACAGTTTCAGAAAGATCCATACACTTACACACAAGTTATTGTCATGAAACTAGAAAAATGCTTGTTTTTTGCCCCTTTTTTGGCCCCTAATTCCTAAAATTTTGAGGCAATTACCCCCAAAAATCAATCCCAGCATTCCCTTTGTGATATGGAACCTTGTGGTACAATGTCAGAGAGATCCATACACTAACACACAAGTTATGTCTGGAAGTTACAAAAATGCTTATTTTTGGCCCCTTTTTGGCCCCTAATTCCTTAACTGTTGGTACCATAACCCCCAAAATCAATCCCAACCTTCCTTTTGTGGTATTGAACCTTATGGTAAAATTTCATAGAGATCCATTCACTTAAACTAAAGTTAGAATGCGAAGACCAATGTGTCTTCGGATGATGACGCCGGACGACGATGCCAACATCATACCCATATACGATTTTTTTGGGGTCCTATAAAAAGACCAAAACTCAAAAACTTAACTTTGACCACTGAACCATGAAAATGATGTCAAAGTCAGATGACACCTGCCAGTTGGACATGTACACCTTACAATCATTCCATACGCCAAATATAGTAGACCTATTGCATAAAGTATAAGAAAAACAGACCAAAACACAAAAACTTAACTATAACCACTGAACCATGAAAATGAGGTCAAGGGCAGATGACACCTGCCAGTTGGACATGTACACCTTACAATCCTTCCATACACCAAATATACTAGACCTATTGCTTATAGTATCTGAGATATGGACTTGACCACCAAAACTTAACCTTGTTCACTGATCCATGAAATGAGGTCGAGGTCAAGTGAAAACTGTCTGACGGGCATGAGGACCTTGATAGGTATGCACATACCAAATATAGTTATCCTATTACTCATAATAAGAGAGAAATTAACATTACAAAAATTCACAACTTTTTTTTCAAGTAGTCACTGAACCATGAAAATGAGGTCAAGGACAATGGACATGTGACAGACGGAAACTTCGTAACATAAGGCATCTATATACAAAGTATGAAGCATCCAGGTCTTCCACCTTCTAAAATATAAAGCTTTTAAGAAGTTAGCTAACGCCGCCGCCGCCGCTGGATCACTATCCCTATGTCGAGCTTTCTGCGACTCGACAAAAACTCATGTGAAAACTCACCAATCTCTAACAAATGAACAAAACTCATGTGAAAACTCTCGACCTGGTGGCAGCAGAGGTGGATCTTCTTGTAAAACCTTTGTTAATACTTCAAAATCGGTTTTACAATTTTTATATGGAAATTCACCAGTTGCTAACTCTACCTGTTTAAGAAAGAAAAATATATCAAAATGTGTGTTAACAATGAAATCTTAACAAATTTCTATCCTCTTCTACCAAGGAGAAATAATTATTTTAGATTTTCCAAAGTAGGTAAATTTGACAACGACTAGCTGAGAAACTTCCTAAATGTATTGAATTGAAACAATTTCTATCTTTAATCAAATGTATAACTATAAAAATTCCCCTTAGGGTCCCTTTATTGGATGGCTGCTGTTAATCAGAAGGAAGATATACAATTACTGTTTTCAAATATTTTAAAATAAAATCAAGATATCATTTTCAGATGGAAAACACTCACAAGATTCTTCTATAACTGATATCTACATCAAAAGAGATGTTGAACAGATTGAACGAAGTATTAATAAACAGCACATACATGGGCAATATATCTGACATAAAGGAAATGTCTTATATGTAACTTGAATCAAGTATCATTCCAATGAACAAGTCATAAATCATGTAAATAGGAAGATGGTCTCCAGCTACATCAAATAAAATTTAATATCAACTAACCAATGTTATTCCTAAACTCCAAACATCTGCTCTAATATCATAATCTGGTCTCTGTGGATCTGGTGGATCAATTCTCTCTGGCTGAAAAAAAAATATTTTCTTGAATTACCTTCTATATGTTCTTTATTTAATGTTAAAATTTAAAATTAAACAAAACTGTTTTTATTTATAGCCATCAAGTTAAATAACTTATTTTTTCTTTGAAAGAAAGTTAGGACAGTCTAATAAAAAATGTCTTTAATCATCTACTGTTTCCTTACATAAGTTACTTTTTTTTTTCTTTAATTTATTAATTCTGGTATCTACCCCTTTCTATATTCAAGTTATGATCACTAAGTCTAGATTTGGAAGATAAAATATCAATTTTCATTGCTTCCTTATTTATACATTTATACTAATCACTCTAAAAAAACAACAAGTTGATCTGTTAGGTATTGCTTTAAGTATTAAGAAAATAGGAACTTGATGAGCAATGTATTTAAAAACACATCATACTGTAAAGCTAGCTAACAAGAATTTTGATACCAAATTTCAGGGTGCTCTAATTCGCATTTCCTTAGAAAATTGTGTCAAAAATTTCATAAATGATAATTATGTGTAAGAATATCCAAAACTAAAATGACTACTCACTGCCATATATGCTGCACATCCTGCACTCCTGGTTTTGGCTTTTGAGTCGACAAGTCTTCCACTAATACCAAAATCACATAACTTAACTGTACCATTTTCATCTAACAAAATATTGGATGGTTTTACATCTGTAAAAGAAGATTAAAATTGAAACATTGAAATATTACATATATATATCTTCTTCCTTTTTCATTATAACTGCATCAAGGGAGATAATCAGTCTATCTAGGTTAGAATTATGTCAAACAATTAGATAGGAAATGATGTCCTAATTCATTGTCCTTTGTTACATTAATACAGATAATATATGTCTCAATTTTTGAGAGCTAAAATCCGTGGTAACCATATCAACCAATGACACATTTTCAATTCTTTAAAAATCCAGATAATGAACCCATCGTTTCAGGCATTCCAAAAGAACAGGGATAATATAAACATATAATATACATATATTATTTAGGTAAATAATAACTTTTTTAATTGCAAATCTGTTTCTGGTTACCTATCTTTATTATCTCCCTTTGACCATAAAAGTATCATTCTAGCTTGTATACTATTTCTGTGCAATAAATTTGATCCATAATATATGTATGTTGATGGCAGATATATGGTAGTTTCTGCTAAATTCATTTACATTTTAACAAAGATTTGTGACTGAGAGCTTAACATAACAATGATAAACACACTTGTCCTATTGTCAATACAGTATAGTTACCTTTTTGGTGGTTTTACATTGATATATACTGATATCTCCTTCCATTCATACTAACATACATTCATAAATTTTGAATATCATCGTACATGCTCTCAATTTTGTAATGCTAATTTTTTTTCAAATAAAAATGTGTTTTCCTATATCTAATTTTTCTGGCTTGTTTACATGGGTTTAAAATCCTCCATAGAATTTTAAGCATCATTTAATTCCAATGCTCCTTTAACAAGTTTAACCACCCCTCCCCTGAGTGTCTTATCTAAATAAGTCTAATGTATCTTAAAAGTGTAAATTCTAAGATTTTCACATATAAACTGATATATTGTTTGTTTTTTTGCTATATCACTGCAACCATTGTATTTTTTATGCTAGAGGTAACCAGAGTTCCCGAGGATAACCACTAAACATCAGCAGATAAGCTGGAAATCTTTGTCAATAAAGATTAGAGTCAAACCCTCATTGCCACAAGCAGGGTTCAAAGTCAAAACCTCAGTGATGACAGGCTAGTGATTACTGTAGATAAACTAATTAGACCACTCTGCCACCTAGGTCCCCTTAGCAATAAAAACAAGTATTGTTGATATGAATATATGTTTTCTTTCTTTGTATACAACAGTCCTCTGAATCACTGTTCTAAATGTCAATGACAACCTTAAATTGTCCTTAATTTGGGTCTCATTGGGGTCTAAGCGTGACACGAGATAGGCCGATTTTTTTGTAAGCATGACACATGAAAGTCAAATTCTTGTGTGTGAAAACGGGTTACCAAGTTGTGCGGGACACGTGAAATTACAAGCGTTATTATTACAATGATAAGCGGGATAGTGGAATCAGACAAAACGATAAGCGGGATCCAGGATCAGACCCCCCTTTATATGAAAGATATGTGTAGTACAACAGATGAGGGTCTTAATGGTCCCCAACTCTATTCTGTAACCCCCATCCAGACCCTCACAGACGTTCCCTGTGTATCAAAGTGTACATTACCTCTATGGATAACTCCATGCTCTTCCTTGAGATAATTAAGTGCTTTCACAATCTGTTAACAAAAAAAAAAAAAAAACATTGATTTGCATAATTCCAACTAATTCCATGACCAAAACTGAAAACTCATTTGATTCTAATATTTCAAAGGTATTTAAATTCAATTTCTAAACAGAAAGTACTCATTTTTTCTTGCTGAACACTGCCAAGAGCATTTTATATCAATAGCAGTTAAAGTGATTGATGAGTCATCATAAGGATTTAGTCAATTTTGAAACAGAAACATATTTAATGTTGAAAAACAGAAATTTAATTTGTATATGTTTATATATATAACACCAAATAAAATCAAATGATAATTGCAAGCCAAGTTTACAATTTCAATGGACAATTAAATTCAAATATGGAGAATGGTGACCTATAGTTGCTAACATCTATGTCATTTGGTCTCTGGTGGATAGTTGTCTCATTGGCAATCATAGCATCACTTCTATAGATGTTCTGATTTGACCAGACACCAATTATGAGGATGATGATATTGTGTATTGTAATTTAAAAGGAGGGAAATTGAATTTCTGAAATGGTCTATTAAGAATAAAATATGATGGCAAAACTAATTTGAAAATTTCTCAAGATTTGTTCAATAAAAAATTGACTTTATAGTTTACCTGTACCAAGGAAATGGACAAAAGTGTGTACTACTGTGGATTCATTTATTTTCATGGGTATCAATTTTCGTGGATTGAGGAAAACTTGTATTTTCGTGGATATTTGATTTCGTGGTTTTGCCAATCTCTGCATACAAAGCCTATAGAAAATTTGTAATTCGTTGAACATTTGAAATCGTGGTTTACCTGTAACCGCGAAACCCACGAAAATTGGTATCCAACGAATAATAATGAATCCACAGTATTATAAATCCTCATATCTTTTACTTCTTAAATCCATTTTCCCCATGACATTACTGTTCCATGTCACCTGAATCTACATTTTATGTAGACTACCACAAATATTTTCAAAACAATATTTTGTCCTACTTCTTATTGTAATATTATTTATTTACAAAGATTTTGTGTGTCCAAACTTTTCTTTATTGTTATCTTCATCTTAGGTTGGTGGGTTTTTCTGCTTTTAAATAGTGGAATGTTTATGGTGGCACGGTAGTATTTCCTTGTCCATAGGGGTAATGATAGCCTTTTTAGAAATTTTACCATTTTCTAACACTGCCCAAAATTCTACATACACAGTTAACTGAAGTACTTTCATTATAAAATTCAAAAATTAATTTGAATATGTATGATGACCGTTTGTTTTTTTTTGCTATCTTTATAAACCTAAGGCCACAAGTGCATTTAGGTCTTTTATCATGCAGTGAATACACAATTTAAAATAAATGTGGATAGTGTCCACATGTGGACACAGATGATGCCCCCACTTGCATATCATATAGTTATAAAGGGACATAACTGAAGAATGGTAAAAGTGACACTATCCAAATTTGAACTTGATCTGAGTTTTGTGGTAATAAGCATTGTGTGTAAGTCTCACAACATTTGGTTGAGGCTAACTTAAGTAGAGAACAGAAACTACAATTTCAGCAATTTTTCTATTTGTAAACACTCATAACTCTAGAACATTTGTGTATAAGTTTTATAACATTTAATTGAGACTAACCAAAGTTAGAGAACGGAAACGAAAAATTCAGCAATTTCTATGTTTATAAAGGGACATAACTCAAGAATGGTAAATGTGTCACCACCAAATTTCGTACTTACTCTGTTTTATGTAGTAATAAGCATTGTGTATAAGTTTCATAACATTTGGTTGAGGCAAACTAGTTAGAAAATGGAAACAAAAAATTTGTACTTGATCTTAGTTTTGTGGTAATGAATATTGTGTATAGGTTTCATAATGCTTGGTTGGGGCAAACTTAAGTTACAGAATGGAAACTAAAATTTTGCAATCTTTCTATTTATAAAGGGGCATAACTCAATAATGGTTGAAGTGACACTACCCAAATTCAACTTGATCTGTGTTTTATCAGTCAAAATTAAACATTGCATTGTTTAAAGCATTGATTGTCGTTGATTCAACTATAATCATGGACAAAGGAAGATAACTCCAATTTTAAAAATTACTTGATATTTAGAAGAAAATAAAAATTTAGCAATTTTTCCATTTATAAAGAGGCACAACTCTAGAACGGTTAAAGCAAACTTGATCTGTGTTTTGTGGTAATAAGCATTGTGTATAAGTTTCATAACATTTGGTTGAGGCAAACTTAAGTTAGAGAACGGAAACTAAATAAAAACTTTGCAATTTTTCCATTTATAAAGGGGCATTACTCTAGAACGGTTAAAGTGATGCCACCAAAATTCAAACTTGATCTGTGTTTTGTGGTAATAATCATTGTGTATAAGTGTCATAACATTTGGTTGCGGCAAACTTGTTAGAGAATGGACACTAAAAATTTTGCAATTTTTCCATTTATAAAGGGCATAACTCTAGAACGGTTAAAGTGACACTACCAAAATTTAAACTTGATATGTGTTTTGAGGTAATAAGCATTGTGTATAAGTTTCATAACATTTGTTTGAGGCAAACTCAAGTTACAGAAGGGAAACCAATTTCGGGACGTACAGACGGACAAGGGTAAAACTTAATGCCCACACCGCTACGGCGGGGGCATAAAAATTCTCAAAAATTAATTTTCACCCGTATGTAAAATTATTTAATATTTTTCTACACCTTATTCATCCCTCAGTTTGGGAAAGTATGTTCAGTAGATACTGTATTTTTTGTCCAATCACACTGTTCAGATACATTGACTTAAGTAGGATACACAAAAGAACAACCTAAATTCCGAAATGTAAATACTACCATGCCACCTTATAACACTATATTCATACTTACTGCAACTGCCATTTTGCCCAGAATCCTCTCTGGTATTGGTGTTTTTGTCCTTTTTAACAATTTATCTAAACACGTTGACATTAACTCCATGCAGATCCATACTTCACTCTGTAAGGTACAAACATTTGCTAAATCATCAATACAAATGTTCAAGATGAAGATCGGCAATGGAACTGTATCCTCTCTCTTCTTGTCAGAAGTACATTTACAAATGCAAAGTTCTAGTTATTTCTGACTACTGATCAAAAACACACAAAACTTTAGAACTCAACCAATGTCAGATTAAAATTAATTCTACTTAGTTACACCCACTGTCATAGATTAGGGGGAAGTTTTAGGGCTTACAAACATGTTTAACCGCACCACATTCTATATGTGCCTGTCCAAAGTCAGGACCCTGTAATACAGTGGTTGTCATTGGTTTATGTCTGTCATATTTGTTTTTTGTAAATTGTTTTATAATAAATTAGGCTGGCAGTTTTCTTGATTGAATTGTTTCACATTTTTTATGTCGTGTCCTTTTATAGCCGACTATACGGTATGAGTTTTTCTCACTGTTGAAGGCTGTATGGTGGCCTATAATTGATTACTACCACTTCATTTTAGATCTGGTGGATAGTTGTCTCATTTGCAATCATAACACATCTCCTCAGTAACAAGTAAATCATTTGAAGAAGAACAGTTCTGTTGACCTGTGTCATCTGTTGACCTGTGTCATCTGTTGACCTGTGTCATCTGTTGACCTGTGTCATCATGCTTCCCTTAAGGATGATATATTATCTTTTAAATTTATACCAAGTCAAATTCTTTAAAATTGCTATATGCCGCTTCGCCCGTCTTTAAAGGTAAAAACAAAGACCTGTCAGCATAAAGATAGAATAATTTATGTAGATAGAATGATATTTTCCATACAGACTGTTATTATGCACTAGCACAATAAAACCCAGTCTCAGAAAGTCATTATAGTACAAAGTAAAGTGTATTTGCTTGACACTAACTTCGATAAATATCCAAATTAACTTAATTTTTGTAGTCATTTGGATAACTTCTCATCAGTTTGGGCTATCTCTGTATCTTCAACTATACATTCCTTTACAGTAATAAATTCACAATGAAATATATATGTATTGCATATTTGGTTGCAAAAGGAGTATGCCCGGTAAGACCCCTTTTTGGCCCCAAAATATAGTATTTCAAATAAACTGCTTCGCTCAGCGCAGCTGGATACGCCCACAGAGGTCCAACCCTGAACAGTTGGGGCAAAAATGGACACAATATTCAAGCTTGATACAGGTCTGAATTTGGATTGTAATTAAATATTTGATATATTATAGGTTTCTGAATAAATGTAGACAAAGAACTTGAAATTGGTTATATGAAAGATTTCTTGCTGTTGTGCAATACACTGTGCTGTTGCACAAAACTTAGTAAATCTGTTGTCAGACTATAAACAAATAAAATCTTATAACTCTGAAATGTAAAATCGAAAATTTATAAAAATCAAAAGGGAGCTTACAAAAATAGATATAAACAATTTACCAAAGTCTCATAAAAAATGCTGAAAGCTGAAAGCATTTTTGAGTTATTGTCCGAAAACTGGAAAATCCCCCTTTATGTAATGAATAAAACCCCATAAATATATATTCTGAAATTTATAAAAAAAACAAAAGGGAGCTCATGTCGATAGAAATAAACAATTCACCAAAGTTTCTTGCAAATTGGTGAAATTGTTTTTGAGTTATTCTCTGAAAACTGGAAAATACTGTTACATAAATATGGGCTGTTTTTGACAATACAATGCACATGCATCAGGTATTAGCATCATTAATTCATGCAAAATTACTGAAAATCTTCACAATTTCAGCATTTGTGCTTATTTTTAGGTGGCTTTTGTCTAAAAAATCTTTTATCAGATGTATTTCAAATTTTAGGCCAAAATAAGCCCTTACCGGACCTTCTCCTTAAAAGTAACTGGCACCCTTTTTCTTAAAAAAGACTAGCAGATAAATAGGAAAATGATCTTACATATCTGTATTTGCATACAGGTAAGCTATGCAGAGTATATACAATGATTATACTACGACAAATTAAGTTATGGATGGATGGCTGTTTAACGTCCAGTGGCAAATTAAATGCAATTTCAGGACGATAACATGTTAGTGTGATGTGAATATGAACCCTGCTTTGTACTAGACCAAGAAGCTGAACCAGATTTTTATTTGCTTGTTCCAAAGGAAACAGTCTGCAAGAAGACATGTCACCCTACCCCAACATATTCGGACAGGAGCAGACCAGTCTTTGCTCTTACTCCCTAATGCCACATGCTTAGCAGAGAAGTCGAAAATACCAATTTTACAATCTGGTTTGACCAGTGGGGTTTCAAAACCCACCACCTCCCGCACTTGAGCAAACACACCGTCACGAGACCACCGAGGCAGTTCCAAAAAGTAATACTTACAGCTGTTATAAAACATCCTATACATTGTACTATATAGGGATAATCTGTACATTTTAATACTACTTCTAAATCCATAATTATTCTTTTATTTTCTTCTTTATTACCAGATCTACGCATTTGCTGAAAATTGTAAGACACAGTATGTAAATATTCATTATTTTGTGTAACATTATACGTATATTTTACAAACACAAACACAGAACTGTTACAATAAATAGTGTGTGATGTTTACAATGACTTTAAGGATTTTTATCTATTAAAAAAAAAAAAGTTTATATCAAATTCTTATTTGATGCTCTTTATTTCTTTTGTAAACAAATTCTTGTTTTAATTTCAATAAAACATGGGGTGCACATGTGTGATGTCACAACTAAAATTGCAATATCAGCTGTATTCTTAATGCTGCCAAACATCAAAATGTACATTTTTGTCAGTGTTCTCCCCATGATTTTTGGATAGCACCAGGGTAACGCGTGTGGACAGCTCGGTGAAATGATTCATACAATCAATTGTGTCGCATTGCGTCGCTTAGCTATATTTCTAGTTACTGCAGTATGTAGATATAGGAAGATGTGGTATGAGTGCCAATGAGACAACTCTCCATCAAGTCTCTTGTTTTGTTTTAACACTGTGGTATTGTGTTATGTAGACATTGAGTCAGAAAATTATTTGTAAAAAAAAAAAGTAAATCATTAAGTAAATATTCATCTAAATTCAAAGTAATCAAATCTTTTATAAAATCCATGATCAATAAAAATAAAATATCATTCAAAGGAGACCAAAAATGTCCAATTTAAAAAAAACTTTATAGTTTCAAGAAAGAAAGTTGTTGTATTAGAAAGGATTCTTGTCATAAGGAGATATAAAATAACAAGAACAAATATTGATTTATTGTTTGAACCAGTTTCTATCTTAACATTTAAAAAAAAAAAGAAATTTTTCATAAATTTAAAAACATTTTGCCATAAATTTCATGTAAATATTAACCTTTCTTGTCTTTGGTGATAATCAAACCTTGATACAGACTTAATACTGCACTGAAATCTAAATCTTTATTTGTCATGATCCATTTAAAAAGAATTCCTAAATCTATAAATTTATCTTAGGTCTATAAGTAACCATATTCAATGTCAACAACAAAGTCTCCCTATTTTTCCCGCCTAAATGACAGGAAGTAGATATAAATAGATTTAACATATGCTTATGGGTAAAATTTGCAAAATTACTTCTGTTATTCATTAATTGTGGATATAGATATCCAGTTTGAAGGTACAGTCATGCATTTTATTTATTAAATAGAATAGATTTCAATTAATTGCAAATAAACTTTAATATTCTACGTGAACTAACTGGGTCATGTGATATGTACAGATGTCCGTCCCCTTCACAGATACTCTAGGTTGAAACCCGATATCATGCACTAACTATGTCATAATTAAAGAAATTTTTGGTTGGCCATGGTTTAATCAGACATATTATACTATACTAATGAGCCAACTTTATTATGTACAAAAAATGTACAGGCGTGTGTGCAACTATCGGGTTCACACTGTTTGTGTACAAAGTATTTGCAGACTTGTCACAGGTCAGCGCTTGGGTTGTGATTGAAGCCATAAAATAGTTATCAGTGATCATAAAGTTATGAACTCCTAATGAAAACACAAAAGAATAATGTAACAAGTGTTAATTACATCGATTAAATTCAATCAACAAGGTTAACCTCATAAGGTAAATCGATCATATGGTGTCAACAATCTGGGTAAACTGGTTTGAACTGGTCAAATTTCACCCGGAATTTTATACCGCACGGAAGAGATTGAACAAATCACTTAAAACTTGACCGATTTACGATTTTTTTACTGAAAATTTTAGCACCACGGTAAAAAATTACACATCATGGTAAGACCGATACCACCATGGTCAAAAATTATACATCACGGGCCGGTGGTCCTTTAAGGACCTGGGGATAACACTGTTTTGTTTGAACTGTTTGTTGATAGGAAATCAAATAAAATAATTATGTAAGTAAATATACATGTACCTGTACACCTGTCAATCATGAAACAGTTGATTTTCTATAACCTTTTTACTTTATCAAATTAAAAGGCTGCGTTTCAAAAGTGTCTTATAGGTCTGCTTTGAATTACAAAAGTTTAGAATTTTCCTATTAGAATTGAAATAATTTGTTCATGTCATACGTACTCAATGTTCATTTTAAATAACATTAGTAGGCATATTATTTATCAACAATTTACACTTTACTATCGCCTGGTATAAAGATATTGACAAATATAGTTCCTACCCATGTCAATTTCAGCATAGCGCATGACATTTCTTAAACAAAACAGTTCGTATGTAAGTAAAAGATCATATAATCACTTCCAAACTGTGAACAATTTCATACTTGAGAAACATTAGAATAATTTGTGAATCGAACTTGAACAAATATTTACAGGCAGCAGACAAAACATGAAAATCTGACAATTATCATTTACTTATGAAGTTATGAGCATTATCATCATTGTTTTAAATGAATGTTTATAAATTGATGTCTGTGCGCAAAATTATTCTTTATTCTTTTATTACAGGATTCTTTATTAATCAAAATGTGAAATTATCCTTGAGTTATATTGCTGAGCATAGAATTTGGTTTAAAATTCTTTAACAGTGAACACAGAAAGGCATATTAGCTTACATAACTCTGAAGGTGTAGTTGTATAAGTATGCATGTTAAAATGCAGTCACATTGAAGTGGTTCACTACACAAGGTATCAATATGTCATAATTCAGCTAATCTTACTCTGAAGTGTTGGATAAGAAATAAGTATGCATGTTTAAATGCAGTCACACTGAAGTGGTTAACTACACGAGGTATCAATATGTAATAATTCAGAGTGTTGGATAAGAAATCAGTATGCATGTTTAAATGCAGTCACACTGTAGTAGTTCACTACACAAGGTATCAATATGTCATAATTCAGAGTGTTGGATAAGAAATCAGTATGCATGTTTAAATGCTGTCCCACTGAAGTGGTTCACTACACGAGGTATCAATATGTCATAATTCTACATACCTTAACAGCCATTAAATGACCAGTAGATTTGTGTTCCATTTTAACAACTTGGCCACATGTACCATGACCCAGATCTCCACGTGCTTCCAGCTCAGCAATGTCAGCTTGATATTTCTAACAAAAAATGAATAAAACTTTGGTAATATAAATACATCAAACTCTGGCAACATTAATTCGGCTCACATTAAATTTCCTGAAAGCTTGTGAACCTGTTGGTTACACGAAAGCATGTCCTTATTTTCCTGTTTTTCAGCATATTCCTACAAAATCAATATACATGAAAAAACAAATCCTATTTGTGTCATGCAGATATATTCAACTCCTCTTTCCACTAATAAACAATGGCAAAAATCTTTAATTTTCTGCCCTTTTGTCAATCAATAGCAAGAAAATAACAAACTGTAAAAAAAGTGTCAAACTAAGGCATATATCATTTAAAATTTTATTAAAGAAACACATTGAACACCAAATTATGTGGACTTTTTCAACAATTTTAACGGTCAAGATTGTTTTCTAAATATATTTTATTAACCATCATTCAAAAAAAATTTGTAAGGGTTCCGTGGAACCCAGTGTCTCGCCTACTTTTGCTGTTAGTCACAGACTCAACAAAAATGGGGAAAAAATTATTAAAAATTTTCCTCTAGATACTATATTTTGATTGTAAGAAGCTTCTATTCAAGTTTGGTAAACATCTAGGATGGTTTATAAATCTAATAAATGTTTTAAAAACTTTAACTGCAGACTGTATGCATGTAATGTTAACTGGAAGAAAAACTAAGTCCATTTATAAGTAATATACGGAAAAACAGGAAATAAATTTTTACAAAATTTCCTTCTAGATACTAGCTTTTGATCATAAACAAGCTTCTGTCTAAGTTTGGTACAAATCCAGGATAGTTTAAGAAAGTAATTAAAATTTTAAAAACTTTAACCACAGAGTGAATGTAATGTTAACTGGCAGAAAAACTAAGTCCATTTATAAGTAAAATACGGATAAACAGGGTTTTGTTTTTACAAAATATACTTCTGGATACTATCTTATGATCATCAACAAGCCTCTGTCCAAGTTTGGTAGAAATCCAGGATAGTTTAAGAAAGTTATTAAATTTCAAAAACTATAACCACAGAGTGAATATTTGTGGACAAAAGTCACAGGCTCGACAAAAATGAGAATCAAAATATTTTGATTTAAAAAATGCAACATCTGCAGAACATGTAGAATTTATCTATAATGCAAATCTAGATCCACTAATACTAACAACAGATAAAATCTATGAACCAAGAAAATGTTTTTTATTCTTAACTTTGAAAAATATAATGTTTTTTCTGTAAAATTTTCCTTTTTTATCTAATACATTAAATTAAGCTTTTTATATAAATGCTATGACATATTTATTGAAGTATACTATATTCATCAACAATACACTACACAAGTAAATATATCTTATGGATACTTTGTGTGAATAAACGATAAATCTTTACCTATTCAAAATTCTTATTTTTATTTTACTCTTTGGAATTATCAATCACTCAAAAAGAAGACACTATCAACTAATGAATGGCTCATCTTAAAATCATTATGTCAACACAGATCAACACATGCTCAACTATATTTATCTTATATTGACTTACCTGCCCAAAAAAAGTTAGAATTTGTGTCATTTTCATAATTTCTTGGTACTTCTGTTCAATTTCAGCTCTATAAATAAGAATGCATAAACATTGAAGTCTGTTGTATTGTTTAGAAAAAAATAATTATTTTTTTACAGCAACCTTGGAACAAATAAGATCAAAAGAATAATTTCTCTATTTATTGTCATATATACATATAAAGTGTAAATAAAACATATTTGCAGTGTGCACTATGAAGTCTATGCATGTGTGAAGCCAAAATCTAAAAACAAATCTTCATATGTGTAGCCCTGATCTAAAACAAATTATGCCATTCCTCTCATTTGTCTTCCTCTCAGTTCTTTTCATATACTATTATATAGCTAGAAATTTTTTTTTGCAGATGTCAAGGTCTAGAAATCTGATTAGTAAAGTTCTGCTACATGTATTTTTCTGTCACATGCAATAATTCTGCATATCACAACAAATTCTCTATTGTATATCTAAATCCAAAGAGGGTAAAAACAGGGAGAGATTTTTCTCTGTAAGTGAGCTTTTATTTTTACAACTTAAAATTGTTCACAACAAAAGAAACATATTCAGGCAATTTTTAAAATGGGCTACCTCCCTTAGTCCATAACTGTAGGTAGAACAAAAAGATTCAATACACTGCACTTTTTGCACCTTGTGTAATTTTTGATCAAATAGTTATCTTGACAAGTATGGTAATACACATGTATAAACATTTTTTTGTAAGCTGAATATCCGAGTAAATATAAGAAACAAATTGGTTGACATGGATAGGATCTAAGGAATGTTCACTTCATTGCACAAAAAGAATGTTGATTCATTGCACTAAAAGATGTTTACTTCATTGCACCAAAAGAATGTTAACTCCATAGCACTGTCTCAGGTACTGCTGAATAGAATGTCAATGACTTCATTTTTGGTCAGAAGATTGAGTGATGAATTGTAAAGTGTAACAACTTTATGGATCTGTCAGACACTTACTTCCTGTTTGTGGATGTTTGAATGCTTTGAATTTTCAATATTTATGTTGAAAGAACTAAAAAAAAATTGTCACACTTTTTCTCAAGTACTACTGGTACTGGATAGATTATTTCAACTGTTTCACAGCACAAAGTTTAACTTGTAATATTGGATTACTAAAACATATTTACTGTTCATCTACTGAAATTTAACATGAAATTTTACCCATCATACTGCCTAGGTGCTCTACTTCCTCCTAAATCTAAATTTGCTGCTGGTCTTCGTCTTCCTGGAGGGGGTGCAGAACTTGGTCTAGAAAATGCAGTCCCTATTTCACCAACTAAAATAGAAAATGACAAAACAAAACACAATTAAATTGGGAATGTACAGATGATGCCCCTGCTTGCATATAACGTTATAAAGGGGCATAACTCAAGAACAGTAAAAGTGACGCTACCCAAATTTGTACTTGATCTGAGTTTTGTGGAAATAAGCATTGTGTATAAGTTTCATAACATTTGGTTGAAGCAAACTTACATTAGAGAACGGAAATAAAAAATTCAGTAATTGTTCCATGTATAATGGGGCATAACTCTAGAACGGTAAAAGCGACACCACTAAAATTCAAGCTTGATCTGTGTTTTGTGGTAATAAGCATTGTGTACAAGTTTCATAACATCTGGTTGAGGCAAACTTAATTTAGAGAACGGAATCAAATTTCGGGATGTGCGGACGGACAAGGGTAAAACTTAATGCCCCCTCTGCTACGGCAGGGACAGAAAAACTAGACAGAAGCAAATGATAAACAGCTTTCATTTCCAACGCATGTGAGTTAATTAACAAATTATTTAGTTTATGTCTGACACATATTTTTCTGTGTTTTGCTCCTGAATATTGTTATCATTGCATTTAGGACCACAGTCTACTCTTGCTTTTTTTTTAAACAATACTTCCACTTCTCTTCATAATATGTTACAATGTAATTGCAATTTTTTATTCTGAAATGAAGGAAATAAACTGACATCACAGATCCCAGGGTAAACATTTTGTACGTCAGATGCACATTTTGTCTACAAAAGACTCATTAGTGACAATTAAAATAAAATGCTTCGCTGAGCGCAGCTGGATACAACCGCAGAGGTCCAACCCTGAACAGTTGGGGCAATAATGGACACAATATTCGCACTTGATACAGGTCTGAATTTGGATTGTAATTAAATATTTGACACATAATAGGTTTCTGACACAGAATAACTGTAGTCAAAGAACTTAGAATTGATTATATGATTTGAATTTATATTCAATTTTTTGCTCTTGTGCAATACACTATGCTGTTGCGAATTGACCCCCCCCCCCAACAAAATTAAAAAAAAAAAATATTTGAAGAAATTTTCTTTTTAATTTCTGAAATCTGAAATGAAAAAAAATTGCACCCCACAAATTCTTTTTTACCCCCCTCCCCCCTCCCCCTATTTTTCCAAAAAAAAAATTCTTCCCTCAAGATATGGTTATAATCTCAATTCAAATTTCCAATGGATTTGCAACCATAATTACCAATTTAAATACATCATAAAATCTTAAATAGATAATTTAAAAGCAGTGTAAGGGAGGTAATCCAACATTGTACAATTTTGTTTTTAGATTACCTCCCTTACACTGCTTTTAAATTGTCCACTAATCAGGAAACCCTTGTTTTTCCCCTTTTTTTCCCCTAATTCCTTAACTGTTTGAGCCATAACCCCCCAAAGCCAATCCTAACCATCCCTTTGTGGTATGGAAACTTGTGGTATAATTTCAGAGAGATCCATACACTTAAACACAAGTTATTGTCTGGAAGTTACAAAAATGCTTATTTTTGGCCCCTTTTCCTTAACTGTTGGTACCATAACCCCCAAAATCAATCCAAAACTTCCTTTTGTGGTATTGAACCTTATGGTTAAATTTCATAGAGATGCATTCACTTAAACTAAAGTTATTGTGCGAAAACCAATGTGTCTTCGAACGACGACAACGATGACAAAGTCATACCAATATACGACATATAAAAAGTCAAAAAGGTCAAATAAATTAAGAAGTTTAAGAGTATTGAGGACCAAAATTCTGAAAGGTTTTGCCAATATGTTGGGGTAGAAATCCTTGGTATTACAAAAAATTTAAAGTTTTGTGAACAATTAATTTATACAATAATTCATGTCAACATTATGACCACAGAAGTGCTGACTATTGGGCCCATATTTGTTGTCTGCAGATTGTTCACCTTTGTAGTCAGGTAAATTTTTTATCTGCCAATTGCATAATATTATTAGTATGGATAGAATACTGACTGGTTATGACTTAAAAAAAAATCACAATAACTAATGCACACAAATTATGAATTAGGTTCTGTATATATATATGGTTGGATTGATTGATTGTTTTTGCTCTACGTTTAGTGACAAATTTGTTTTTGGATTCTGTGCCTGGAGTGTTTTTCTGTTTTGGTCGCCCTCAGAATCCCTTCGGCCAAAATAAATTGATTGTATGTTTCCTTTTTCACCTCCAAAAAAATTAGGTAGGGTAGGTAGGTAAAACATTTTATTTTATGAAAATATTTAATTTTTGTTTCTATTGATGACAGCAGAAACAAGAGGCTCTCAAGAGCCTGAATCGCTCACCTGTAATTTTTTGCTTAAATCTTTCATCAATGATTATTTTTGCTTTTTAATATATATTAATGAATGGCTTAAAACTTCCATTGAAATGTTCTTTGTATTTGTCATATTTTCTTCAAAATCAAAGAAATGCATTTTACCCCTATGTTTCATTTTAGCCATAGTGGCTATTTTTCTTGACGTACAAGAAAATAAAATACAAAATTTATACTAGATACTCTGAAACTCATTCATCCCAAATTTGGCTGAAATTGCTTCAGCAGTTTCAAAGGAGAAGATTTTTTAAAGTAAGCAAACTAAATGAATAAATTGTGAAAAATTGATTTTAAAGGGCAATAACTCCTTAAGGGGACAATTGACAATTTTGGTCATACGAACTTAATTGTAGATCTTACTTTGCTGAACATTTTTGCTGTTTACAGTTTATCTTTTTCATTAATAATATTCAAGATAATAACCAAAATCTGCAAAATTTCCTTAAAATTACCAATGAAGTGGCAGCAATCCAACAATGGGTTGTAAGATTCATCTGAAAATTTCAGGGCTGACAGAGCTTGGCCTAATAAACATGTTAACCTCCTTCAGATTAGATCTAAATGCTTTGGTTTCTGAGATATAAGCCAAAAATTGCATTTTATCTCTACGTTCTATTTTTAGCCATGACGGCCATGTTTTTTTTACGAAACAGAAAATAAAACACAAACTTTTTTCTAGATACCCTTAGAATCATTCAGCTTAAGTTTGGTTGGAATTGGTTCAGTAGTTTCAGAGAAGAAGATTTTTTAAAAGTTAAAAAACATGATAAACAAATTGTGTAAAATTGTCCTTAAAGGGCAATAACTCCTTAAGGGGTCAATTGACAATTTTGATCATTGAACTTATTTGTAGATCTTACCTTGCTGAACATTTTTGCTGTTCACAGTTTATCTTTATCATTAATAATATTCAAGATAATAACCAAAAACTTCAAAATTTCCTTAAAATTACCAATTTAGTGGCAGCAACCCAACAATTGGTTATCAGATTAGTTCTGTGTCAGAAATATGAAAATAAACTTTTAAATTAATGAAAATTTTATGCATTTCATTGGTCGTAATAAGAATATGTTCTTGCCGCTTAATTATCTTAAACCAAAAATGGCAGTGAAAAATCAGGCATGGTATTTATTATGTTGGGCCTCGTTGAACCTAACAATGTTATGACACACAGGGTATACATGTGGGAGCAGATAAGTACCCCTTGAAAACACTGTGAACCGATGCTAAGCAGCGGTTAATTATGATTTTTATACGCCCGTTTACAGGACGTATTATGGTATACTGTTGTCCATTCATCTGTCTGTCCGTCATCAACATGTCTGACAATACCTCAAAAAAGCTTTAACCAATTTGCATGAAACTTTGAGCTCTCTTTCTATTTTTATAAATTTTAGATTTTACGTTTCCGAGTAATGGGGTTTTATTCATTAAAAAAGGGGGATTTTCCAGTTTTCGAACAATAACTCAAAAGTGCTTTGAGGCCACCAATGGGTCTTCAATGCAGCAAGAAAATCCTACATCCGGAGGTGGTCCTCCGCTGGAATTAATGAAATTAATATACATGTATGACATGACAATTTTATAAGGCATTTGAATGATTGGACATATAGATAGTTAAGCACTAAATACTAATAATAAACATAAGGATAATAAATACTGATATAATAATGTACTTATTTATCACTAACTATAAAATGAAAGCATGATATATAACAAATGATAAAATTACATGTTTAAATGTTGTTTTTGTGTTAAGGGAACCATACTGTCCCAGTATTTCAACAAACATTTGCTTAGGAAATTCTGGGAATAGAAGTGAAATACCAGCCATATCAATATCTTACTTTATGTAGATTATGAATATTAGGTTATTTATTGTACTCTGATTTAATCTGTTTTAATGTGGAGAGGTCGTAGGGCCTCAAGTAAAGATGACATATTCACCAACATCATGGCCAATATTTCTGAACAGTATCCGGTGTAATTAGTACAATTTAGACAGACAATACATTATTAGTATTTAGTGCTCCCTAATGAACAACTGAATTTTATAGTGCTCTAACTTTATCATGTGTACAATGATTCTTTATTCAAAGTCATTTATGTGTCAATCATTTTTATTAGATCATTAGTATATCATCTATAAAATATGAATAAAATATAATTCATCCTGATTCTTACTACTTTCTGTACTTAAAATTCCTTATCAGGATTACAAAAAAAAAAATATTTCTATCCAAAACATCACAAACATATGAAAAATGTTGCTGAAAAATACACTTAAAACAACTTGGACATAGCATACACCTTAAAGTATAGTCTACAATATAACTACAATACTGGTATATTAGTAATGTACCAGTATTCTTGGTTTTTTTTTACAGTTACAATACTGGTACAAAATTTTTAAACCAGTTTAGCGATCACCAACTACAGGAGATCCAACCATTGATATACCGAATCGGTTAACTTGGCATCCTGTCAATGACACGCCAATCAATCCACCCATGTCAATCATTAATTTATGTTTACAATGTATGAAATTATCACATTTTTATAATAATATTTGTATAAACAGTCAAATTGACAACAAATACTTGAATGAAAGCTGTGTTAATCTGAAAATGCTGCTTTTAATGTTTGTTATTTCGTTATGGTCTTGCTTTAGGATTAATGTATTGAATAAATGCTATAGAATTTATTACAAATTAATGCAATATACTGTCTGGAATGATGAAGGTGTCAAAATTGTGCTAATAGGGCAATAAATTCCATTGTTTATGTTTAACAAACTGAAAACGTACGCCCAGGTCTAGTTCTTCTAGCAGGACTTGGGTGTCCCGACTCTGCCTTTGGTGGTCTCGAAATTGGAAAATCATTTCCCATAACCATAGGTTTTGTTCTATCATGGTCCCTTGATTTGTTTTCAAGCTTCAATCTTCGTTCTAACTCATTTATTTTTTGCTGTAGAGTCGAAGACATTTTGATCACATGATAAAATCGGAATCAGTAAAATGCTTTTGATAAATCATTTGAGCGTTTGAAACAAATTACAGTTATGTCCTGATAAAACGTGCACAAGTGCCAATGACAGTAATCAGGATTTTTCAAAAAATCTAACGTTTTCTTAAGATGCCTTTGCTTGATCTTGAAGATTATCTTATTTCCAAGTTTCATAACAATCTATGAAGGTTTACAAATTTATCGTGTAAAAAAGAATAATTCCATACCACTTGTTAATTGCTTGTTAATTGCAAAAATATTTAAAAAAAATGAGATTACTATAACTATGTGTTATAGTAGTCTCAGAAATAAATCAGTACCAATACTGAAACATGGAAAAAAAAACTTTTAACATTTTGCTTCAGACATTACCTCATAATCACAAAAAAGCCCAGTCAGCCAAATTTTGATAAATTCGATGAAGGTTTGACAAAGTAATTGATGTATAACACACTTTAACCTCAGGCTGTATCAACATATTAACTACAAAAAAAAGTCTTTTTATAAATAAAAAAAAAAGAAAAAAAAAAAAAAAATTTTCTTTATGCTATGTATACTGGCTTTTTATCATTAAAAAGCTTGTGTCCAACTTCCGTAAAATTTCATGAAAGTTCGAAAAAGTTATTGATGTCTGAAAAAATTTAACCGTAGACTGTCTTAATATTAAGTGTAAAAAACTATGTCCATTTATCAGTAAAGTAAACAAAAATATTTTCAAAATTTTCCTCTGAATACTGTCTTTAATTTGATCATAAAAAGATTCTGTACATCTCCTAAAAATTCCATGAAGTTTGACACAGTTGTTGATGTTTTGAAAAACTTTAACCACAGACTGAACCTAAATGTTGACAACACCGACGGAATCTAAGATAACTAAGTCTCGTTTTCTCGACATAAATGTCGCAGGCTCGACAAAAATGCAAACCATATATTGTATCTCAGCAGGTAATGAATTTTTTAAACAATAGGAAAATAAGTAGAATTCACAGTAGATTCATACTTTGACAGCAAATAAACAAATGCTTGCTGTTCGGTGTGAGCCAAGGCTCCGTGTTGAAGGCCGTACTTTGACCTATAATTGTTTACTTTTTATACATTGTGACTTGGATGAAGAGATGTCTCATTGGCTTTCGTACAATATCTTCTTATTTATAAATATATATATGATACTATTTTATTAAAAAGTAAATTTCGTCACTTTTATCTTCAATCACAAGTCATTAAGAAAGAATTACAAGTCTCATGTGCTTTTAACCAGTTCTTTAAATTACATTACATGTATATGTTCACAACACCTACAGAGGAACAAAATCCACATGCCACTCCAGCATGAGTTTCGATCATGGTTATCTTATGAATAAAGGCAACAGTAGTATACCGCTGTTCGAAACTCATAAATCGATAGAGATAAAAACAAATCCGGGTTACAAACTAAAACTGAGGGAAACGCATCAAATATAAGAGGAGAACAACGGAACAACAAAAACACAACATTAAAATGTAACACACACAGAAACGAACTATAATATAACAATGGCCATTTTCCTGACTTGGTACAGGACATTTTAAGAAAAAAATGGTGGGTTGAACATGGTTTTGTGGCATGCCAAACCTCCCGCTTTAATGGCAACGTCAAACACAACACCAAAACGACAACATCACATGACAGGAAATGGGAGAATATATAGGAAACCCAATCATTTATGGACGACTTACGTTTGAATTGTTTTACATTTTGCTATGTTGGGATTTTTTAGCTGGTTAAGCGGTATGGATTTTTCTCGTTGTAGAAGGTCGTTCGTAACCTATAGTTAAGTACACGCGCGTGATTTAGACTCTTGTGAATAGTTGTCTCGTTGGCAGTCATATTGCATCTCTGTATTTTTATATTGCTGCAAAATTTCGACCCGAAGGCCTGCAGTATGTTGTGATACTGGTCTTTTCCAAGGCATTTGACACTGGGTTCTGCATAATATACTGCTATCTTAACTCGAAATTTAAACAGGCTTAGCATGTTCCTCACGATGCAATCTTGTCGGGTACTTGGAGACGACAATAACTCAAATTCTGTAAGGAAAAAGTTTCCTAGGTACCGCAAGGTTCGACTACTGCTCATCCATGGCGTCATGTGCTAGTAAATCAACGACCTACTTTAAAGAATTTATTCCAAGTTAGATTATTCGCCGATGATTATCTGCTATATAAGAAAATTCAAACACAACAGGACCCGGGCATCAAGTATTTCAAAAAGACCTTGAATCGTTAGGAAACTAATGGGCAATAAATTACCTTCCGCCTCTCTGTTTGAACTGGTCAATGGTGCACACTTGATATCTTGAATTACTTCATATTTGACAGAATGTAACATTGAATTTAGATAAAGAATGATATGAGTTGTAAAAAAAATAAAAGCTATTTAATTATAGTTGATTATTAAGAAATATTTGATTCATCATTCATTTCAACTATCGGTAAAAAAGGATTAAAACATGCAGCTATAGTTTGATTGTCATACAAATGAGAGTTTTAGCTAGCTATAAAAACCAGGTTTAATCCACCATTTTCTACATAAGGAAATGTCTGTACCAGGTCAGGAATATGACAGTTGTTTACATTCGTTTGATGTGTTTGACCTTTTGTTTTGCCATTTGATAATTAAGGGACTTTCCGTTTTGAATTTTCCTTGGTATATACATCTGGTATAAATCTGCGGTCAATGGTATTAGTTGTCTTTTATTTCTGTTTTAAATGTTTTAAAGATACACGTGTGACTTCAATATTCCGATTATTTCCTGGTATGGATTTGTCCCATGTTGTTCAGAACATGTGTTAAAGATCCAATTTGGGGTTACACCCAGTTCCTCTTAATGTAGTTTATAATGTAAGTTATTTCATCAATAATTACATCTATGGCAAATATATAACGTTAATTAGATTTAGTCCTCATCCGCTGCTTTTCAAGTATTTTTGTTAACAAAAGTATTTTCGTTGGTTCAGATATTTGTATTTGTTTATTTCAGTGATTGATGTTTGAAATGACATTGTTTTGTAAATCAAATTTGATTACCTATAACGTTCAAGGTCAAGGAAAGCTTCATCGAAAATCGGTGTACACATTGGTTTATCATGTTGATATAATGTTAATTGTCGCGATAAGATTTGGTTGATCATTGTTGTTTAATTTTATGAAAATTTGAGAAATATCATTTCTCGCTTCTCATGATGGTTATTTTATTTTTCTGTTCCAGTTACCCTTACCTTTGTTTTGAAGTTTTTGGGTTTTAAAATATAGTCGGGTTCCCTTTTGTCAATCTTTATTGACACTGTAGGTTTTACGTGTTCTTAAGTATAACACCGAAGATGAAATCATCAAAATGTTGGACTTTTTGATAGACAACATTTTTGTTGAGTTTGGTACCGTGGATTGATACGTCACCAAACAGTCGATATTCCAATGATCAATATAACTGTGCAACCCTACTTGCCGACTTATTGTTGTACTCATATGGAGCAGAATTCAAATGAAACCTTCTGAGAGAGAGAAAAAAACAGATCTCAGTGAACTTGTGATTAAGGATACTACCGAGACTAGAAGATCTGCTTAATATCTTGATCTGTTCCTCGATATTGACAGAGATGGACTTCTAAGAACCAGAATCTATGACAAGCGTGATGATTTCAACTTCCCAATTGTAAATTTCCCATATTGCAGCAGTAACATACCCCTGTCCCATCGTATGGTGTTTACATATTTCAATTTCAAATTAGTTAGCATGCTAACACTATACTGACTTTATTATCAGGGATGTGCTCCTCACTGCTCTATATATAACAGAGATGTCGGCGCACCCGGTTTCGCTCCTTTTGGGGTTCATACTATTCCCTCAGTTTTTACTTGATTCTTTTCGATGAAGATTAATGAGGTTTGAACATCGATAAAATACTGTTGCCTTAATGTATAAAACTGAACCAACAGAGTTGTGAGGAAGAATGCCGAACTGAGGTCGACACTACATAAGTTTCACGGCCAAAACAACAAATTTGTTGACCGATATGATGTGTCTGTATCTCATTTCACTTTCGACAAGTTTTTGTGGTCATAGATTTAAAAAAAAAAGCTATCCTCCTAGTTTTCAAGTTGGTCAACCTAAATAAAGGTAACAGTAGTATACCGCTGTTCAAAAGTCATAAATCGATTGAGAGAAGAAAACAAATCCGGGTTAAAAACTAAAACCGAGGGAAACACATCAACTGTAAGAGGAAAACAACGGAACAACAGAAACACTGAAGTGCAACAAAAACAAACACCAACATACATAGAAACGAACTATTTGATAACAACTGCCATATTCCTGATTTGGTACAGGACATTTTAAGAAAAAATGGTGGGTTGAATCTGGTTTTATGGCTAGCCAAATCTCCCGCCTATATGGCAATGTTAAAAAATATTGCTAAAATGACAACACTACGTGACAGAAATACAGCACAAAAACAAACGCAAGAACACTCAGCACAGACAAACGCACAAATAAATATCATAATAGTCGTTACAACATGTAAACCGCAGAATAACAACGATTATCTTCCATTAAAGACAGCACAGGACATCACAAACAGTGACGTAATTTTGTAATGAATATATAATCTTGGAATTCATACAATTATTTTCACAATACTAGTCTTAACAATTATCATGACTATGACGGTATTGAAAGGCTGTTTTAAATAAATGATGTGACGACGTAAAAATTAATTGGACTTACACAATATTTTATCCATGGAAAATGAAAATTAACTCGACTTTACTGACAAATAAGACATATGTGAAATGTACCGAAAATACAGAATTCAAACCACAAACGATAAGACATAACACAATATCCAAAGAAACTACAACAGAAACATCATAAATGAATACATAAATGTTGGATATATAAATACCGAGACACGTCGTGTATCAATGCAAATTCACACTCGGCAAACAGTCATATTCGGGAATAGGTCACGTTCGGTACTTAGAAGACATACGACATATATAGATGTTAAACCACAATCTAAGACGTGTCTAATGTCATTAGTTAGTTTAGATACAGACACATCGTATAGATCAACCAATTCGTGATGGTTTCCATAAAATTTACGGAGTGTCATTTTAATCTTTCCTCCTCATAACTCTGTTGGAGCAGTTTCTGCGTGAGGTGCACACTCCTGTATATGAAGTCCGTATAGTGTAAACATGCACGAGCATAACGTAACATCATCAATATATCTGAAAGTTAAATTAAATAATGTTGAAAGGTGCTTTTTCTTTTTGTCTTTTAGAAGGTTCTGAATGAATTCTGTTTCATACGAGTACAAAAACAAGTCGCCCAGAAGGGGTGCACAATCAGTACCCATTGGAATACTGACTGTCTGTTGAAATATTAATCCTCCAAACTCAACAAATATATTGTCGATTAAAAAGTCCAGCATTTTGATAATATCATCTTCAGTGTATTTTCTGATAGAATCAGTGTGGTTCTTCACAAAATAAAATTATTATAACCCAAAACAAGAAATTTATATCTACGATTCCCATTTTTATAGAAAAAGCTTTGTTTAATGGGATAGTGAAGTCGATCTTTCAATTGAGCATGGGGAATAGTAGTGTAAAGCGTAGAAAAATCAAAGGTCTTAATGTTGCTGCAAAATTGCAGAGATTGTGATCTAAGATTTAGCCGATCTTTAGAATTTTTGAGAATCCACATCTGATTGACACCACTGGTTGAATATATCTCATCACAATATTTTTGAAGGCCATCTTTTACTGTAGAAAGAATAGTAGTCAGCACTTTAGAAATATGTTTAGTCGAATATCTTGATGATCCAGCTATGTATCGTTCTTTATACAGAGTTTTGTGAAGTTTTGGTATCCAGATAATGACGGTAGATTTTCTTCGTTTTCTTTGATGTTAATACCAAAAGAAAGAAGACAGATTTGTGATTTTGGAAAATTTCATCCTTTGTAAATGATGTTAAAGAATACGTAGGATTACCAGTTGTGTTGTTTATTCCAAGCTCTTTTGTGAGACATTGCAATTAATGGTTTTTAAATACGAAGACAATATCATTGGAGGCTTTATCTGCTGGAACAACGACATATTTGTCATGCAAAGAGGATAAAACACTCACAACCTCCGGGTTCTTGAATGGGTTAGAAACTCTTGTGCTCATAGTACATAGTAGTTTCTGAATGCGCTTCTGAATGCATGATCGAATAGCTTTGATCCATTCAGACAAAGTGTCCAGTGTCCGTCTGGTTCACGCTTTACCCATTTTCTAGCATAGTCCCCAACTGCATCCATCAGTAACCTGAAGTTCTTTTTCCAGTTGATGGGCTGGGGAATTCTATATTTTGGTTGGAACATTTATATAATGCAGAATGTTAGTAAATATACAAAGGCGGCTGTGCACATTATCAGGATTAAGATTTTTTCATATTGTAAAAAATGACAAGATGTTAAAAGTTATCAGTTGTGTCATGATTTTGAATTGAGTCAGTGAGGTGACCACTGACGAGGGTCTTGACTTGGCACATGCTTTCAAATGTAGCTTTCACTTTTATTACTCTGTATTACTTTCGAATAAATCCAAATAATGTAGTGTCAGTTTTGTCTATTTTAGCTTATCATTTTAATAAACAAAATTGCACTTCCAAATGTAGATAAATATTTTTCTTTTGTTGTGATATTTCAAAAATGCTAACTCTGCATGTAATTCTTTATATAAAGGAGAAAAATCCATGCCTTCGTTCATTTGCTCTTTGATCAGATATGCTAGTAGAAACCGATACAAAAATCCGTCAGTTATGTCACCCTTAGTCAAGACATGCGTTCCCTTTGCGACCAAATTGACAAAGAAATTAGACTTAAACCAAAAATATGAGGTAAATATCTAGTTTGTGATTGATCTGAGTAATCCGTTATGTGCGGTGTTAAAAGTTCCAAGAGTTACCTCCTCTTTGTTTACATTGGTGGGAAATACAAATGTGTGTTTGGTTTTGTTTTCATGGGGAGTTTTCATGGAATAGTTGTTTGAATAACCAAAACCCATAGGTGTCAACTCTCAAGATACAGATGGGAGCTTCCATATTGATACAGTACACTAATTAAAATTCTGAAAGAATTTAGAATTTTAATATTCATCATTAATGACATCAAGGATTTGTAGGAGAAAATCGCCTAATTACGGACAGCGCCGATATGCGGACGGAAACCGAATATCTCACTTTTCAATAAAACGATGAAAAATTGAAATAAAATAGATATAAGAAATAAGGTGTTTTGTTTACTGTTGAATCTCTATTTTGTTGCAATAAGGTTATCATGTCTATTGCTTACGATTTACTTTTATGTCATGTGATTGAAATTGCATGCTATAAATAGCTTATGTTAACAAGTTTGAAATCCGGAAAATTTTAAAAAAGGTCCAAAGTTAGCATGTCACATTCAATACACAGTTGTTCATGTAAGAATGGCAATTTATGTGTTGAAAAGCAATACTAAGGCATTGCGTATTTTATGCAAGGAAACATTTCTTTTAATTATTTTTACTGATTTGTCTAAATTTTGATTACAAAATAGGAATAAGCAATTGTCCGCATTTTCACCACCGAAAATAATATGATAGCCGAAATGTGGACACAAGATATTTTGAACAACTAACACGTGCAGTGGTGCATATGTCAATACCATGATGACAGAAATGAACAAAACTCTCTTATAATCTAGCATTATTTGTTTCAATCCGATACATTTATATCAATAAAGTGTTGATTTGGGTTTATTTGTTTTGCTTTCATTTTGCATATTACGAACATAGTGTGTTTACAAGTCTGATTTCCACTCCAGTGGTATTGACATTTGACAGCAATAATGACCTCGCCTACAGCTCAGTCATTATCGCTGTCTTTGTCAATACCACTGTCCTGTGGGCAGTTCATATATCACGATAATGACCAGTTCTTCAATAACTATTATATAATTAGTAACTAATCATCCTTTGCACCTATCGTTAACCTGTTGTGTTTTAGACATTTCATCTAAGGCACAGAACTAGGTATGCATGTTCTGCACACGCTGGTATCCTTTCGCCAGTCGGATAAAATTCGATGCCATTATTGGTCAGAGAATGGGCATTATATAGAAAAAAGTATATATGTGACGAAATGCAACGAGCGCCAATAGCGTATCATCATGCGTGACTATAATCTCCAGCACTACGTCTTTATTATGGCCTGTGGACTTTTGGCAGGTGCCCTATTATATATATTTAGTAATAACTCTGCCCATTTATTCATTCATCCGTCTACACTTTCTATGTCGTAGGATAACTCATATTACTCCGACAGATTTTAAAAGAAATTTTAGCACAACATTTAGTAACACTAGGGGAAGCTCCCTTTCATTTTTTTTTTTTACTTTTTATTTTCGAGATATTGGACTTAGGCCAGCAAGACCCTTCATTGAGGAGTGACATGGGTCAGTATTCATAAGAGAAAATAAAGGATATGGAGTAAATGTACATGGGACAAAATCGCACACAATACATAGAAAAAAAATAAAAAGTTATCAATGAACAGGGCTTTTATTCCTGTTCTTCATCTTGACAGTTGATGCAGGGTCTTCAACAATGAACGAATCATTCATATCCTACAAGGTCAAGATGGCCCCTAGCGTCGACTTAAGCAGTACTATTGATAAAAATAAACCAAAGTTCGCCCTCTTGCTCCCTACCCGCCTCGGAGTGCCAACTTGTGCGATGCTTGTGTACGACGGTTCTCAAGTCGAAAGCACCAGGGATACAAGAAAAGTGCAGTAATTTTGAAAGACATCGATCGCCGCTAAAATATGCTTTGAAGTTACACATGTCGGGAGCGATCAATGAATTACATAATTTATAATTACGGGCTAGGTTTTTCAACATATATTTGTCATACATTGCCCAACAAAAGACCAATACATTAGAAACAACAAATGATAGACAATACATATAAAACTAAACATAATACTGACTTTTCCATAATTCCCTAAAATTTTTGGTGTCCATTTTTCCATATTCTTCTTTTTTTTTTAACATTCCAATTTACAAAATTTGCATGTTCCCTCACACCTTGCGTTTTCCCATTTTTGATTTCCCAATTCTTAAAAATTAAGCCTTTTTACCCATTCCATAAACTGTTTTCAGATGTTCATGGTGTTGGATGGGCCGCAAAAAATCATGTTTGTCAAAGAGTACATAGAAACCCGAGGATAAATAAAATTATCTTATAAGTATCGGAAAGTGCAAATAAAAAAATCTCGCCTCAAGGTATCTTATGCTCTTGAGTGAGGGATACGGATTTTTAAGTGATTAGGACATTAAAACACATTACAATGAATGCCATACGATTTGAAATTGAAAGTTATCACAACTATATCTTGTATATATGCATGCATGCATCTTGGAAGACAAATATCCCGATGGAAGTTTTCAGTACAAAAAAGTTTCTGCATCTTATATCATTTAATAATTGGTGTGGTATAAGATATTTGATGAACTTTTTTAATCTTATTTTTCTCACCTTTCCACATGTATTACCAGTTCATGCGAGAAAACCATTCTCAAACATGCTTTAAGATGCACTGAGAGGGTATTCCTGAGGGGTATTCATGAGAGCTAATGTTATATATGCGTAATAGCAAGAACTGTTTAAAAATAAGTGTCCGCAATTTGACGACAAGGTGTCCGTATTTTAATTCCCCCTGTCCGCATTTACACAACTCGGCATTTCCGCGGGTTTTAAGAGTTTTCAATCTACCAATCAAGAAAGGAGACCTGAAAACGCGGGAAATAGTCCCTTTGATACCCTCTATCCTCTCCTGTCAAATGCAACCACCAGTATGTCCGCAATTGGCCTCGACAGTATCCAAACTTCCAAATTTGAAAAAGTGTCCGCAATTAGGCGAATTTCCCCTATAGTAAGATCTTACTACATGTACATGTATACAAATCCTTGATGACATTACAGCTGTTAAAGTGTTATTACACCTCAAAATTTTTTTACCACTAGGTATATAAAAGTTAAATGCATTTTGTGTTTCAGAAAGGTAAAATTTTTTGGGAATTTTGATGGGAATTTTTTTTTGTTCCTTCTTGAATAACAGCTAGTTTATTGTATAGTATCGTATTGGTTGATATGGACAATAGAAGGATAATAGATATTTACATAACTCAGTATTACTGAGCGGACAGTATCAAATGTAATTCTGAATTTCAGGTGTTTATTTTACAATTTTCTGCAGTGATTAAAAAAAAAAAATGCCTATCAAAATCCGAAAACAATTTTGTCTTTCTGAACCACAAAATGCTTTTAGCTTTTATTTTCAAGTATCTAGTGGATGCTAGGCCATAAAATTTTCCAACTGCATGGTTTGTCTGTACATGAGTAATTTTTGAGATGTAAAAACAACCATTTTTGTCCATTTGTTATGATGAACTTTAAAGCAAGCTTCATTAATATATGCTTATTGACAGGTTATTAACTCTGTCTAGTCCAAAAACTGAAGTATCAAATAAATCTTCAAACTAAACTGCACAAAGTTAGACTGACCTTAATTTCTGATTTATAAACAACATTCTGGAAATTCAGGTCAAATTATCTCAGAAGTGAAGGACTTTAAAAAAGTTCTAGTTGGTTATAATGGCTTCATCATTATGCTGTTGAAAATCATCACAGCCGAAAAAAAGCCTTACAAGACATCCTTAATTATGTGGACTAGACTGGTCCCATACTGGGTAAACCCAGTTCCAGTGGTCAAAAGCTTATTCACCATATCCAAATACTGATCAGAATAGCAAAAACAAATATAGTTCAAACTAATAATATTCAGATCGGACGAAAAAATTATTGACTGTCAGTTACTAATGACATTAAAAGCAAACCGAGAAATCTTGTGTTCATGAATCACTGTTTCTAACAGTGGGAAAAAAGCATGCACTCCATCTCCTCACTACCAGATCTCAGCAAAATTGGGGATGTTTCCAATGGCAACACATTTAGCAAAAACAATCCCTGATAACCAATAACTTAAAACCTTTTGAATTATTAATTGATATTAGCAAATGGAATTTTTATGTATAGATACCAAAAGAGAAATACAGGCTCATGGAGCATTTAGTTTTTCTAAGGTTATTATTTTGTGAACAATTTCCAGTGGAAAGTTTAAAGACCATGAAAAATTAACAAAATCAATGGTCCAGATGTTATGTTCAATTGACAAGTGCAAGACTTGATGGGTGTGAATCTGGATAGGTTGGTCACCTTGTTCATGATGATCTTTTTCAAACCAAATTTCTACTTGCTGGCAATTATACACAACGGGTATCCAGATCCATAATCTGTGGAGGGATCCGAACCCCGAGGAGCAAATAATAATTGTTAAGTGCAATTTGTAAGTAAAATCTGGATCTGATTCCTACAGAGGATTGTGCTCCATGGGAATTAGATCCAGATTTTACTTACCCACTGGGTTGCTGTCTAGTGTAATTGCTCCTCCGAATTCTAGTCTGGACGCGTATTTCGTATGATGATACCCGGTGTTTTAAAGTTTAGGGAGCTAAATTTTTTTCATTTTGACCTTGAATATTTTATATATAATTTACCATTTTTAACTCCACAGGTATGCAGAAAACTAAAGGTAAACTAATCAGCATGCTGTTGGTCTTGTCATAACCGTCGTAGGACCAGGTCACAATATTTTATTATGAAAATTGGTAAAGGGACAATATTTATACTTGTATGGTGATTATGAATATCAAAAGTCTGTTCACAGATTTTGTTGTGTAACTGCATTTTTCTATGCATTTTGATTTGTACAACATCATTGTGGGCATTGATGCAGAAAAATGAGCTAGTCAGGATTTCCTATCATTGTAAACAACAGATCTTCATGAGTAACTGACAGTTAGGAACTGTGCATGCTAGATTCCAGTGAAATATCAAAAATTTTGTTGGGGTTTGTGTTGTTTAATCTTCAGTTTTATGTGTAATGTTTTTGGACTGTTGTGTGTGTTTTTCTTCTTTTTTTTCTCCATGATGTTTTATGTTTTTCTTCAACTTATGGTTTTTGATTGTCCAATTGGTATATATTTATTTATGAATGCCTTTTTAGCTCACCGGGGCCCGAAGGTCCCCATGTGAGCTTATGCCATCACTTGGCGTCCGTCGTCTGTCGTTGTAAACTATTTCAAAAATCTTCTCCTCTGAAACTACTGGGCCAAATACCTTCAAACTTTAATTAAATGTTCCTTAGGGTATCTAGTTTATAAATTGTATCCGAAGTTTTGATCCATCGACATACATGGCCGCCATGGCTAAAAATAGAACATAGGGGTCAAATGCAGTTTTTGGCTTATATCTCAAAAACTAAAGCTTTTAGAGCAAATCTGACATAGGGTAAAATTGTTCAATTGGTCAAGATCTATCAGCTCTGAAATTTTCAGAAGAATCGAACAACCCATTGTTGGGTTGTTGCCACCGAATTGGTAGTTTTAACAAAATTTTGCAGTTTTTGTTATTATTTGGAATATTATTATAGATATATATAAACTGTAAGCAGCAATAATGTTCAGCAAAGTAAGATCTACCAAAAAGTTATATGACCATAATTGTCAATTGACCCCTAAAGGAGTTATTGCCCTTTAAAGACAATTTTACACAATTTGTTCATCAAGTTTGCTAACATTTAAAAATCTTCTCCTCTGATTCTACTGGGCCAATTACCTTCAAACTTTAACTAAATGTTCCTTAGGGTATCTAGTTTATAAATTGTATCCGAAGTTTTGATCCATCGACAAACATGGCCGCCATGGCTAAAAATGGAACATAAGGGTCAAATGTAGTTTTTGGCTTATATCTCAAAAACTAAATCTTTTAGAGCAAATGTGACATGGGGTAAAATTGTTTAATTGGTCAAGATCTATCGGCCCTGAAATTATCAGACGAATCAAACAACCCATTGTTAGGTTGCTGCCACAGAATTGGTAGTTTTTAACAAAATTTTGCAGTTTTTTGTTATTATTTTGAATATTATTATAGATATATATAAACTGTAAGCAGCAATAATGTTCAGCAAAGTAAGATCTACAAAAAAGTTAATATGACCATAATTGTCAATTGACCCCTTAGGAGTTATTGCTCTTTAAAGACAATTTTACACAATTTTTCATCAAGTTTGCTAACATTTAAAAATTTTTTCCTCTAAAATACAGGTGAGCGATTCAGGCTCTTGAGAGCCTCTTGTTTTCCTACTTCAAATTGCATTTTTTCTTCTTCACAAAAAATAGTGAAAAATTACAAAGAAATATACATATCAACTTATGAAGTTATGTGAAATTCTGAGCTAGTTTTTTAAATTTTCATAAATTTGAAAAGTTTTATAAACATTTAAACGTGTAATGATTTTTTTATTTGTGATTTCAACAAAATGGTTAATAATGAATAAGGTTAAATCATTGAAATCAAAATGGAAAAGGGGATTATTTCAATGGATTAATTTTTATAATCAGGAATGGATATATATTCAAAAATGAAAATGAAACTTTATAAACTTGGTGTGTCCGAAATGCTTTAACCAGGATCACTCACAACCATAAATTTAAAAGCCAAAGATGTACATGTATGAGTACTTGAATATGTGAAATGCTTTATGACCAAAATGGATTGTAAAACGGAATATCCAAATCCATCTAAAGTCAATCTCTGAGGGAGTTTGAACCTTAGTTTCTTAATAATTTCTAATTTATCCACAAAGAATTTTAAAACTTGAGGTATGTTATAAATTTTGTCAGTACCAAAGCACTGATTACTGAAATGATTATGCCCTGTGGGACTAGCAGTTCACCTGAAGCAGTATCCCTTGTTCAAAAAAATGAAAATAATATCTATCCATATATATATATATATATATATATATTTAATGCTTTTGAAGGACTTCTCTGAAATTATCTTTGTCAGGAATTTTCAAGCCCCAAAAAACTTGAACATGTAAGGAGGTATATGACCAAGGGGACCTTAAAAGAATGGCCAAAACCATCTATGGTTAATTTGCCTGAGGGTATTAGAACCTTAGTTTTTTAATAATTTTTATATTTATCAACAGAGAATTGAAGAAAGGTATGTTATAAGCACCGACTACTGACCTGAGGATAAACTTTTATTTCAACCTTTATCTTATTTTCACCATGTTTACCATAGGTAATATATTGTATCTATATTTACATTAAGATGCCTTTAAATGTAATCAGATATCATAAAATAAGGATCTTAAAGGTCCAATTGCTGAAAACTCCATTCTTATTTATTAAAATATATTCTTTTGCATGAACCATAATATCATGGTATGAATTAGATACACCCTCCCTCAGGGGTGCAGAGGCATATTTAGGGTGGAGGTTGGGGTGGGGGTGCACCCCTTATGGTTAATGCATCAACTTTTTACATGTCCCACTCCCACATTGCCTAGTTTGAGGGTCTCCCCTTTTTCAAAATCCTGGATTCATATCTGGGGTGTATCTTACATGTCTAATACATACAAAGACTATCTTCTTCCAAACAATTATACCATTTTTAAATGGATATGGGAGAAATGTTTCTTGACAGCTACATGCACTGATTTTGAGTAAAGGAGATACAGGTTGAACATCGATGAGCAAAACAGTAAACCAGAATTAAATATATTTAAAGGTTAAAATACATTCTTAAACAATAGACAATATGTAAAGCCCTAAAAATAGAAAAGTTGTGACTTAGACTACTGAAGATAGGCAGTTTACAATTATGAATTTGTATGTTTCAAAGTCTTACATTTGTGTAGGTAGGAACTACAATTTAGTCTTTGTTATTCTAGAGGGTCTGGATTGACGGACCTTCATTTCTTTATTCATTGATATATTAGACTATTCTTCTGTATTCTTTATTTATTCTGCCCCTCATTTTGCACTTTTTGGATATTTTTATTCTCTTTTCCGTGAACCCAATCTAGACCCTCACTCAATTTCATGGAAACATCATTGTAATTTCTTCACAAGTTCCATGAAGGATGGAAATGTGTGTGTGTTAATTTTGATGTATATTTCATCTACAATATTCATCTTGAATAAATTTGAAGTATCATGACCACTGTAGTGACCTGAATATATTTGTTTCTATATATCTGAATTTGATTACTTTGGATTCGTGATGATCAGTATGATTTAAATTTTTGATAAAAAATATCGTTGAACATGAAATTGAGGAATTAATATACATTTTTGCCTTCAAATGTGGAAGGTCATCGTTGAATTAGGAACATTTTCTCAAAGTTGTCTCTATGACAAATGTAAAGTTAAATTCACGAATCCACAGTATAAACCATTGAAACTTCATATTTATTAGCTTTATTGAATTATCCTGCAATGACAAGACCAGAAGCTTTGATTATTTTACATTTTAGTTGCAGCTTGTTTTAATTATTAATGCTATAGATGTGTTCTTAAACATAAAGGCTTGTTATCAGATTTTTAGAATGCTATTGTGGCCTGGTTCAATCTATAGCTTTCCACTAACATGACCATGACTAACAATATACATGTACTTATTGTATTGTTGTGTATGTCCTATTGACTGTTATCAATGTAGATGTCGTACCTACATATGATATCCTAGATTTATTTACCTCACTAATTTTTTGTTTGGATAAGGACATCCACTTCCTCATTAACTTTAGTTACTTCCTAAAATCTTCATTCTATATATGTTCATGATGAGTACAATATACAACATTAAGATTTCTGTAAGTACATTTTTATGCATTATACACAAACAATTTGCTATATATGTGAACCTGATTTGCTGTTTGGACAATAAAATGTAGTTGCATGGTTCAACCACATTATTTATATTGGAAAAAAGTTGACATGGATTCTTTACATTGTGTTCCCTTTATGTTTTTATACTGTAAATTCAGAAATTATTGTGATTTTTTTAAAAATTGAAAAAATTGCGAGATTAATTTGTGCGATTTTAGGAAATTCTGCATACAGATATATGCATCAGATATTAGAATGCAAGTTATTATTGCGATAATCACCAAGTCGCATTATTCACATTAATAAAAACCTCGCAATAATTTCTGAATTTACAGTATATGATGGAATTTATTTCTTACAGTATTTTCGCATGTGGATTCAACAAATGCATTTTACTGATATATTTTTTTTAAAGATTTATCAGAATCATTTTGTTTTTCTTAACTTTATTTTCTTTTTTATTTCTATACCTAATACCTATATTTATAAATATAAAGTACCCCTCCTCCTATTTTTCAATATATATATGATTATGACTTTTAAATTAGAACAAAAACAATTATCTTCAATTGTTTTATTGATTATGACCTTTGACTGTATTTTTTTTTATTTCTGTAATAATTTCAATAACCATGTGGGCAGATTGAATAGACTAAGAATACAGATTTTAAAATTAAGTAAAATGAATGTTAGTTGTCTCATTGGCAATCATACCACAACTCCTTATATTTTATATTGTGGCTAAAGTGTCCCCCCACCTTCATTCAAGTGAGAACTCGAAATTACTGTGTGGCCTACAAATCATTGTAATTAGACTTATTCAGTGGCGGATCCAGAGGGGGGCGTAGAGGGCGTACGCCCTTTTGCTTGCACTTTTTTTTTTTTGTAAAATGATTAATCAGACTAGACTTCGCGAACTTTGCCATTTCCCGTGTATTTAATTTTTATGCGACAATTCTTTACTTATAAAGATATTTTTCGCTCGTATTTACTGTAATATATTATTGATTATGTCAAAGTCATGTGATTCGCTACGGTGGAGTTGACCACTAAGTCGAAAAAAACGTCACTCATCAGTCATTTTGAGATTCAAATTACAGTACATTTTGTAACACATTGCTTAGAGAAAAAAATTCTGACCCTGATTTTTGCCTTAATCAAAAATTCTGGCCGTATCTGGATTGAAAACAATAATCTTGTCCACTTTTTTGCCATTAGAAAAAAATATTTTCAACAAAATTATTTAGCATTAAATGAACATGATGAATAAAAACGGGCGTAATTTTTTTTTTTTGGGGGTTGCATGTGAATCCCATATCTGACCGGAATGTCTGTTTCGCCGAACTGATATACTGAATACTTTTTTCAAGGCCCGACTGCAACCTGCCTGCTGGATGTGGCCTATATGTCTCCATGTGTCGACCGTCATTCACAACTTCATTGTCATTTCCGACTCATTCGTAGCCTTTGGTTGATTTGGAACCCCTCACTTCCCTTGTTGGTTGAAACATTTCAACCAAACATTTGGATAAAAATTGCTTGTTTGTATTTCTTCGTGTCGGTCGTATTGTAAATTTCATTGAATAGCCGTATATCTTGTTTACAACAAGAAAACTGTGAGGTTATGTTTACTAACCATACAACAAACGAGAATTTTCCATGTCCATTTTTTACTGACAAATCCCACATCAAATATATTAATTAGTACATAGCTTTGGATCCATCCAATCATTTTATAATAGACAATTAATGGAGAGAATACGGCACCAAAAATGTCCAACCCCTACACTTTAACTATAAAATGCATTTTACACTTATTTTATGTTTTTTAGCCAAAAAAAAAGGTCCAAAAAATTGTTCGCCTCGCTCCGCTCGGCCAACTAAAATACTACGCCCCTTTCCAAAATCCTGGATCCGCCCCTGTTATTATGTATAAATTTCCTTGTGGAAACAGCAGAGAATACCTCAGTATCTTATCCCAACTTGCACCTAGGAAAAGAAAAAAAATTGTATGGAGGTTGATGCTTTTGATTCAGTTCAAGAGTTCATTGCTCTTAACACCATATGAATATTGCATTTATAGTTTAGATACTATAGTGTTTCAAGATGTCAACCTTTATCATAAAAAATACTTGTACTAACAACCAACAGGAGTTAAAATTTTTTCTAAACTTTTCACATTCTATAAGTTCTTAATAATCATAGTTTTAAAATGGCAAATAAAAAATGTCTCTAATAATTTTCAATCACATATTTTTGCCTAATTAATCAGTAAACTTGTTCTTTTTTAGTCCTATATCCAATTGCTAACTTTAAATGCAGCATGTACATAACTCATGCTATATATATATAAAAATATAATAATACTTGTTGGAGTACAGTGGACAAACAGGAGTTCACTGTTAGTATTTTGCAGGGGAAAAAAACTACCAAAAAAGCACTTTATAAGTGAATGAAGAAATAAAGATTGATAATTTATAATAATATAAAAATTCAATCGATATGAAAATAATACCCTTGCTGTTGATATTTTGCAAATAAATAAGGCCACACTTAACAAATTCTTTGTTTGATGTCACTTACCCATGCTTGTAGGGTTGTGTAGGTAGGTAGGGATTTAATTATTTTGGCCAAAAACATAAGTTACATGTTTTAAACAAGACAACGACGTAAGAGCATGAACATTTTTTTTTTTTTTAATTTGAAACGATTTGTGTCATAAAATATTTCGGTAGGTAGGCAACATCAGAAAAGAATAAAAAACACTGTCTTAAACTGATATGATTTGCATGATACTTGTTAAAAAAAAATTTTTTGTAAGTGTAACAAAGTTATTTTTTTTAATTTGCAATTTTTTACTGCCGTGGAGATAAGTAATATTTCATGGTTCACATGCCAAAAAAGTATTTACGTATAAATTCCAAAAAGACGAATCCTTTCATTTTAAGTGAACATTATACCTCATGGATGATATTTTTCAGGAATGTGTTTCATTTTAAGTGAACATTATACCTCATGGATGATATTTTTCAGGAATGTGTTAAGACTTTAAACACTTTGCAGAGCAATGCACAGACTCTTGAAAAGACACGACTAACGCGTGATAAACTTGCACCTCTGCATGTTCCAAATATGGTTAAATGGGCGTCAAGTGTAGGAATAACGGTATGTACACTTATAATTCATGGGATCTTGATATTACAGTGGCTTATTTAATTTTTTGGAAATACTATCTACAAGTTTATTCTCCAAAGAGTAATCCGTAAACTTCATTTTAACAGATGATATATATCATTCATTATATTTACAAAATTTGCTGATTCAGCCTAATTAGTCATTATAGTCAAAGGTCAATATAATTTTTTTTTAATTCCTCAAAGATATATACTGGTTGAATAAATCAACAGTTTGCCCTTACGTTAGAATATGACCATCCATTAATAGGTTAACAGGTTTAAAGCACATGTCTAATGTTTTTGTTTTGAATGGAAGGCTGTTACACTATTCATACTTACTCCATCAAGTATTTTATATAAAAAAAATAGAAGTAACATAGAGACCTAATGGGTAACTTTTTTGATTATTGGCCCAAAATTATGATATTCATAGTCAGAGTTCGTATATATCATACATTAACATACATCAAGAAAAAAAATGTTTATTTGTAAAAATGAATTTTTAAGAATTATTTTCTGAAGATTTATAGAAGTCAAACGGATAGTCTGTTGTTATTTATGTATTATTGTCATTTTGCTTATTTTCTTTTGTTTCCTATTCTGACATCAGACTCTGACTTCTCTTATACTGAGTTTTACTGTGCGTACTGTTGTGCTTTATTTTTTTCTACATTGGCTAGAGGTATAGGGGGAGGGTTGAGATCTCAAAAAACATGTTTAACCCCACCATATTTTTGTGCCTGTCCCAAGTCAGGAGCCTCTGGCCTTTGTTAGTCTTGTATCATTTTTACATCGCGATGACCTCGAGGTCATCCCGATGTAATGCTATCGCCTAGATTTCCATTATGTAAATTAGTTTTGGGTTTGTAACCGATCTATAAACATGATAAATATGCGCACATAAACGAGTGCAAAATAACATTCCTTATCGTTTGATATAAATACATCTCTTCAATGAATACTGATAAAAATATTTTTGTTTACAACATAAATTAATAATATGAAAATGTTTTGTAGTTAGATATATATATATATAAGTACAAAATCATTGATAATATCAATGCACACGTACCGAAAATTGAGTTAAAGCATGCGGAAAGGACCGGTAACTCTGTAATTGTTTTTGCGGGAAAATATGAATGCCTACTCGTATCCAATCTTAGAAAAATCGAATTTTTACGGAAAAGTGTCCACCATGCACTTGCATTGCACTATTATTAGAATAGTAGAATAGAATGATATACAAATGGATGCAAATCATATATATATTTAACTGTTATTTTAATATAATATATAACAACAAATCAGTGTATACTGATTTGTATCACTACAATCTAATAGTTATTACGGTGAAGTTGAATTTCCTGTCATTTATTCATCATCCACGCACGAACTTGTCTCAGAAAAAAATATATCTCTGTACATTAACCTCAGTTTCAGGTAATGAGATATGTTGTTTTTTTCTGAGAAAAGTGCTTTCGACCATCCTCAAGAACTTGTGGTCATCCGATGTTCAGTACTTCAGTACTTTGATTAATTTTAGTTTCCTGTGTATAATTTGGAGTTTAGTATGACGTCCATTATCACTGAACTAGTATACTTATTTGTTTAGGGGCCAGCTGAAGGACGCCTCCGGGTGCGGGAGTTTCTCGCTGCATTGAAGACCCATTGGTGGCCTTCGGCTGTTATCTGCTCTATGGTCAGGTTGTTCTCTCTTTGACACATTCCCCATTTCCATTCTCAATTTTATGAAGGCAAGGAGTTGCAGGGCAATATAACACAGCAACCAAAAAACTTAAGTGAACCCAAAAAATGGCAGTTTTCTCATTTGAATTGTTTTACATTTGTCATTTCAGGCCTTTTATAGCTGACTATGCGGTATGGGTTTTACTCATTGTTGAAGGCCGTACAGTGACCTATATTTGTTATTTCTGTGTCATTTGGTCTGTTGTGGAGAGTTTGTTTTGGCAACCATACCACATTTTATTTTTAGTCCCCTACTGACGAAGGCGAAGGGGACTTTAGGTTTGCACTCTGTCCGTCAATCTGTCTGTCTGTCTGTCCATCTGTCAGTCCGGCAAATCAGTTTTCCACACTTTTTTTCTTCGTGCTTGAAGATATTGCTTTGATATTTGGTATATTGTTTTATCATGACAAGTTACAGATCAAGTTTGAATTTTGTTCCAGTCTGATGATTTTGTGCAGAGTTATGGTCCTTGGACTTCGAAAATTTACTCAAATAATCAGTTTTCCGCACTTTTTTTCGTCATGCTATAGATGTTGATTTGATAATTGGTATATAGATTTATCATGAAAGGTTACAGATCAATTTCGAATTTTGTTCCAGTCTGATGATTTTGTGCAGAATTATGGTCCTTGGACTTCGAAAATTTACTCATTCAGTTTTCCGTACTTTTTTTCGTCATGCTTGAAGATATTGATTTGATAATTGGTATATAGTTTTATCATGACAAGTTACAGATCAAGTTTGAATTTTGTTCCGGTCTGATGATTTTGTGCAGAGTAATGGTCCTTGGACTTAGAAAATCCACTTAAATAATCAGTTTTCCACACTTTTTTTTGTCATGCTTGAAGACATTGATTTGATATTTGTTATACTTACACTTTGCACCATGACAAGTTATAGATCAAGTTAACATTTTGTTCCATGACAATGAATTTTTAATTATAATTACTCTTTCAATTTCAGTTGGATGACATAGATAGATTAAAGGTAATTCATGTCAGTGGCACTAAAGGTAAAGGGTCAACATGTGCTTACTGTGAAAGCATTCTACGACATCAGGGTTTCAAAACAGGATTTTTCAGGTAAATGCTTTTATTAACTTGGAAAGGAGTAAGGCCCTAATTTGGCCTCTATTTCTATATATTAAATTGTTAAAAAAGCTATTATAAGGAATAGCTAGGTCACTTCTTGTCTTCAAGTTAATGCACTTTTTGTTCAAATGTTGAGACTTTTATAGTTAGTTTTTAAATGTTTCACGCATGTCATCTACATTTTACAATATTAACCAATAGATATAAGAAGATGTGGTATGAGTGCCAATGAGACAACTCTCCATCCAAGTCAAAATTTATAAAAGTAAACCATTATAGGTCACAGTACGGTCTTCAACACGGAGCCTTGGCTCACACCCAACAGTAAGCTATAAAGGGCCCCAAAAATTACTAGTGTAAAACCATTCAAACGGGAAAACCAATGGTCTAATCTATATAAAAAACGAGAAACGAGAAACACTTATGAACCACATCAACAAACGACAACTACTGAACATCAGATTCCTGACTTAGGACAGGTGCAAACAAATGCAGCGGGTTTAAACGTTTTAATGGTACCAAACCTTCACCCTTTTTCTGAAACAATAGTGTAACATCACAACATAGAAAGACACACTATAAAATATCAACTGAAATAGCTTAACTCAATCAAAGGACATATTAACACCATTGAACATACACTGAACAAATAAATTTGACCTATGATACAATGTAAATACAAAATAAATAATCTAAGGGAAGAATAATAAAAGTAACATGTTATATCGGTATGAAATGTACATTTATTGAAAATTTTACAAAGATGTGCTTATTTCAATAGAAAATGGATTGGTTATGGTAGAAAATTATTATAATAGAATTTATTTTGTTTATGTACATCGCAAATTGACTTACATGATTTAAACACTACATTTTTTATTAAAAAAGGAAACTATAAAAGCTTTATTGGAGGCTGTTTGTTTTCAACTATCAAATCTAACTAGGCATTCCTATTTGAAAGAGAAATCTTGAACATGCTTTTGTAAATTTTGAGAATTAAAAAAGTCTACATTTCATGATTTGTGTTTCCTCAAAGTTTAAATTATATTATCAAATACTGTGGATTCATTATTATTTGTTGGATTCCAATTTTCGTGGGTTTTGTGGATACAGGTGAACCACGAGTTCAAATGTTCAACGAATTACAAATTTTCTATAGGCTTTGTATGCAGAGATTGTCAAAACCACGAAATCAAATATCCATGAAAATGCAAGTTTTCCTCAATCCATGAAAATGATATTCACACTCCACAGTAGACAATATCTCTTAAATATCTCTTAGTACTACCATTAGTGGTGGTTTTGTAAGTTATGACTTTCTTTAACTTGTACAGTATCTTATGAATGTTTGTTAATCTTGCATCTTTGATTGATATAAGTATCATGTAGTTTTATGTTATTCTTTTACTTATATCATACTGTACCATTTGTATTTTTGGTCCAAAGGGCCAGTGTGAGCCTCTGCTGTCACTTGGCATCCTTCATATCTTGTTCATCAACCATTTACTTTTACAAGAATCGTCTGAAACAACGGGGCCAAATCGAACAAAACTTGGCAACCATCCTTGGGGTGTCTGGTGTATAAAGTGTGTCCCGTCAGCCTTCTGGCCAACCAACATGGGTACCAAGGCTAGAAATAGAACATAGAGGTAAAATGCATGTACAAATGTAAAGTCTTTTATTTTCGAATACTGTTAAAAAACTATAGTAGATAGAGAGAAACTGGTAACAGCAAAATGATAAGCAAAACAAGATCTTCAAAAAGAGCAAATTGTCAGATAACTCATCTTTTTTTTTTCTTTTTTTTTTTCTTTTTGCTTTTTGGGGAAAAACTATTAGTAGGTAGATAAAGAAAAATTGTAAACAGCAAAAATGATCAAGAAGACAAGATTGATAAACAATTTAACTTGAGAACCTCTAGAGCATTTAGTGACACTTCCTTTTGCTATATTTAGTGTAGTTACAAACTGTTGAACTTAAATCTTGAAATTGTTTTTTCAGTTCACCTCATCTTGTTGAAGTAAGGGAGCGATTTCAAATAAATGGACAGCCTCTGTCTCGTGAAAAATTTGTCACCTATTTCTGGGATGTGTTCAACAAGCTAGAAGCTACCAAGGTTTGTATATATAAAGTGGTAAAATGATATACATCTTGTCCTGTTGTCACAGGTTATTATACATCTTGTCCTGTTGTCTCAGGTTGTTATACATCTTGTCCTGTTGTCACAGGTTATTATACATCTTGTCCTGTTGTCTCAGGTTATTATAAATCTTATCCTGTTGTCTCAGGTTATTATACATCTTGTCCTGTTGTCACAGGTTATTATACATCTTGTCCTGTTGTCTCAGGTTGTTATACATCTTGTCCTGTTGTCACAGGTTATTATACATCTTGTCCTGTTGTCTCAGGTTATTATAAATCTAATCCTGTTGTCTCAGGTTATTATACATCTTGTCCTGTTGTCTCAGGTTATTATACATATTGTCCTGTTGTTTCAGGTTGTTATACATCTTATCCTGTTGTCTCAGGTTGTTATACATCTTATCATGTTGTCTCTGGTTATTATACATCTTGTCCTGTTGTCTCAGGTTATTATACATCTTGTCCTGTGGTCACAGGTTGTTATACATCTTATCCTGTCGTCTCAGGTTATTATACATCTTGTCCTGTAGTCTCAGGTTATTATACATCTTGTCCTGTTGTCTCAGGTTATTATACATCTTGTCCTGTTGTCTCAGGTTATATACATCTTATCCTGTTGTCTCAGGTTATATAAATCTTGTCCTGTTGTCTCAGGTTGTTATACATCTTATCCTGTCGTCTCAGGTTATTATACATCTTGTCCTGTTGTCTCAGGTTATTATACATCTTGTCCTGTTGTCTCAGGTTATTATACATCTTGTCCTGTTGTCTCAGGTTATATACATCTTGTCCTGTTGTCTCAGGTTATATACATCTTATCCTGTTGTCTCAGGTTATATACATCTTGTCCTGTTGTCTCAGGTTATATACATCTTATCCTGTTGTCTCAGGTTATATACATCTTGTCCTGTTGTCACAGGTTATTATACATCTTGTCCTGTTGTCTCAGGTTGTTATACATCTTGTCCTGTTGTCTCAGGTTATTATACATCTTATCCTGTTGTCTCCAGTTATTATACATCTTGTCCTGTTGTTTCAAGACTCAAAACGAATAAAAAATACTTGAATGTTGGAATTACAGTATTAAAACAAATTTAAACTGTTAAAATTTAGATAAACTATATATAAATAAAAATATTAATCACCAGTCCTACTGAAAACATCTACAATTGGTGGCTGTCTCTTCTTTTTCACATCTACACATCAAAGGAAGGGAAGAAGTAATTAATAATCGCTGGTAACATGTTGATTGTTTAAACACACATGTCAAGGTACATGTATTTAGCCTTAAGATAATTAATGTCAACTGCATTACCAAGGATAAAGAAATTGATAAATTATTCAAAATATTACGCTTAAATGTACATGGTGCACCATTTTTAACCCCAAGGAAGGGTCATGCGAACTGGGTGACCACCCCCTGAATCCACCTCTGTTTATTATACATAAGTTCATAATGATAACTACAGATTAATTGTGTGTTTCATTCTGGTTGACCATATTTGGTGGAGTTAAAAAACTTTATGAAAATTATACTTGCCCAAATATTCTTTTTGTCTTGTCTACAGATCTGATTTTGAGTGTACGTGTATAATGATCGTATGATGACTTACAGATTGAGTTTGTATTTCCCTACAGTTGACCAGCTTGTAGTGGTATTTTAGCCCTTGAAAATTGTACTTTTTGGGCTTTTTGTAATACCTGCAGATCTGGAGCTAAATTTTGGTACTTCAGTGTATAATGATAACTTATAGATAGAGTTTGTATTCAGTTCTGTTTGACTGATTTGTTTTGCAAGAGTTTGCAGGGGCATTCGTTTTGTACTGACATATCTAGTTTCCTCACATATTCAAAACTAATTTCCGGAAATATATATTTGAGATGCAGCTATAAACCACATAAAGTGCCAAACAACTATTCACAACAAAATATAAAAACAAAAAAATAAACAAAAAAGTTCGAAACTACAATGCACCCTGATGAACCTAAATAAAAACAAAATTGAACCAAGACTAGGACAATCAAGAATAAATAAAAAGGCAATTGCACTTGACAAAAAGCATTCACATGATTCATTATAAGTTGGGCACAGATGCGCAATTCATTTCAGGTAGGTGGTAATGGTAGCCTTTTCCTCAATTTCTCTGCTCATATCGAAAACGGCTCCTAGAGGTAAAGAATCCTTTTTTTCACTCAATAAATTCTTTGAAAATTTAGTTCTTTGCATACATTTAATAACTCCATAGTTTTTACACATTTATTCTATGGACCTCTACATTTCAAATCAGCACAAATGGTTCAGCTCAGTCACTTGTTAAAAATAGAAACATGTCCAATATCACTACTCAGAGATTTTTTGTTTACGCACAACTTTTGAGTTCCTCAATTTGAGGAGCATTAGGGATATTGACCCAGTTGGTAATAGGAATATTGAAAAAAGATATGGTAATTAATAGTTATTAATATACATGGGATTTCAAGACTGTCTTGTGGAGTCAATTATTAATTATTAGAAAAAAATCTTTAAAACCATTACATTTGTCCTCCATTCAATGAGCATAATTTCATGATAATACTACCAATAACTAAATTTAATGAGAATACAGTTTATTGAACTCAAGTTCTATATTTTTTTTGATACAGGAACAAAATAATGATTCTATGCCAGCATACTTTGCTTTTCTCACCCTTATGGCTTACAATATTTTTCTGAAAGAACAAACAGATGTAGCTATAATAGAAGTGGGAATAGGAGGCGAGTATGATAGTACTAATTTGGTGAGGAAACCAGTGGTGTGTGGAGTTACCTCCCTTGGAATGGATCATGTGTCTATTTTGGGAAACACCATTGAGAAGATTGCTTGGCAAAAAGCTGGTATTTTCAAAGTTAGTTTTGTTTCATTTTTTTCATGCAAAATAATTTTGTTTTAAAAAAATACATAAAAAAGTCATTTAAGTGTTTTTCTCAAATCAGCAGTGCATTCCTATTGTCATTAATTATTTGCTTATGAATCAGCAAAATAGATATTCCCTCTGAAGTTCTACATCATCTTTTCACAAGAAAAAAATAAGGTTTGAGGACTGACACTAAGAAGGAAGTTGCTATTAGAAAATATCTTCATAATGAACATTTGATTTTTTTTTTTGTTAATATATTTTTGATATAAAAAAAAGACTTAATATTATTATTAATTGTACTTTTTTACTGCATTTGTAGCCTGGTGTACCAGCATTTACATCGCCACAGTGTCCTGAAGCACTTAAAGTTCTGCATGAACGGGCAGAGGAAAAGGGGGTTGGTATCTCTTGATTTTAACAGTTCTTATTGAAAATATCTCTGAAGTTTTACAGGAACTATGCTGGCCTCAAAAAGTAAACACCATTAAAATTGTAAGCTTCAAATTTTTTTTGCCAGTTTTTAAAATTCATACATATGAGTCATTATGAGATATCAAATGATTTCAATAAAGGTTTCTTGTTCATCATTAACCATTGGATCATCCTGAACATGCATGAAATATTTGCTACTGGACATTAAGCAACCGACAATCAATCAATCTATTAACCATTGGAAAAGCCTTCCTAACTTTAATAGTAAGCACACCAGAACATTGATGATTGTTTAACTGAAACAGGAAGTGTTTTATAAAAACAGATATATTTTAACCTTAAAAGACAGCAAAACTATTAATATACTTTTGAGAAGTAATTAAACATCTGAGAGATTTATTCTAACTTCTATATTTTATTATTTTTTAAAGATTAGAATTGAAAGTTATTACTTCCTTTAAGTTTATGGTTATTATTTTCAATTGTCCCTAGAAGGTTATTTTTTGGTTAAAACAAATTCCCTGCTTCATTGTTGTATTGAATTAGGAAATCATAAACTCCGCACCATTAAAGATTTCGACATATTGTCATCCATAAATAAAAGTACTGTCACATTGAATTGTTTAAATTTTAAAAACACTTTCATAATTTTGACTAATAGAAAAAGAATCATTTTGGTTTTGCAGTGCCATCTTGAAGTTGCTCCTCACTTTGCCTCCTACGAAAGACCAGGTGAAAAGTTTAAGCTTGGTATAGCTGGACATATGCAGAAAGTCAATGCTTCACTTGCATTACAGTTGACAAGGACATGGATGAAAACTCAGGGAGTTTTAAAAGGTGATTATAACTCTGCAATAAAACTGCTTTATAAGATAACTTGCACCATGTTAAATGAACATAACATGACATAAGTTTTATAAACCCTTTCTGTATGGAAAGCAGAGTATAAAGTGATTTCCTGTTGGAGATAATTTCATTTACAATACATTTACAATACATTGACAATACATTTTCAAGGAAGTAATTTAGAAAATATTGACAGTTTCTCAAAATATCAGTTATCTGAGGTTAATCTATGTCTGTCAAGCTCAATATCTTGATTAGTCCATTTTTGTCTCGCCTTGATTTGAGTCAATAAAAGAGGCGTCAACAATTTGTTAAAGTTTGTGATTAGGTCAATTTAAGGGAAACCTCTAATGATAAATTAATGATTTGCATATCTCATTTCAATGGAGATCATTTGGCCCTACCCCTCAGTCATTGTCTATTGACTTTGAAACTTTTGCATAGTTTACATGTTAAAATTTGTGATTAGGTCAGTTAAAGTGGAACCACTTATGATAAGTCAATAATATCTGGTATGCTACTGTACTAGCATTAGCATATCTCATTTTTATGGAGATTATTTGGTCACGCCCCCTCAGTCATGGTCTATAGACTTTGAAACTTTTGCATAGTTTACATGTTAAAATTTGTGATTAGGTCAGTTCAAGGTAAACCACATTTGATAAGTCAATCATATTTCATTCGCAGCTGTTTTCACTTTGGCATATCTTATATCTAAAAAATTATTTGCCCCTGTTCCTTCAGTCATGGTTCATTGACTTTGAGTATTTTGCACAATTTATATGTTAAAGTAGTGCTATTTAATTTCACAGTTTACTTGCAAATTATATACAGGCTAGACATGTCAAAAGTTTATATGGTTAGAGGATTATGGGAAGTTTCGTCCCTTATATAATGACATCTTTTTTTACCCTGAGACAAAATAAAAGTATAAAAGGGTTAGACTGCATGAATTAAGCAGCATAGTCACAGGAATATATTTCTAGTTTACAAAATACGTTTTAGAATTGTCTGTTTGGTTGTTTGTGTATAGTAAAATGGTTATTTAAGGTTTTCAACATACACATTGTCATTATTGTCCTCATGATATAAACAGGATCAAAACAGACAATATTATTAAAATACAGATTCTGTGTCCTTGCTTTGCTTACTTGGATCTGACAACACAACGTTCTACTTTCTAATCTGTCTTACATCAGCTAATGAAAAGTCAGGCTTCAAATTTTTGAAGGTGTGAATCATAACAACAAAAACCTGAAAATCTTAAAAGGTCTTAAAATATGAAAGTAGAATCTAGCATTGTCAGATTCTTGTAAGCAAAGTGTGGACATAGGATCTGTATTTCAAGTAGTACTTGTTACTTCATTTATAGTTTTGTTCTATCAAATAATTTCAGAGGAAGTTTTGAATGGTGTGAACGAAGTTGCTGTTGATGGTCATGGTGATATAGGAGTAGCAAAGTCTTTCCCTTTCAACCAAACTTTGATAAATGGTCAGTGACTACAGTTTACTTCACAATATAAAATGAGATATATCATATTCAGAATGTAACTTTACATTAATTATTCCTTAAATCAGTCTTCTGTCCATCTGTATTATTATCAGAATTATTATTCATTGACAAATGCATACATGAATAATCTTATGATATTATGATCTGTTTCTTGAATACTGCAAATGCAGAAATTTTTTGCAACAAATGTAATGGAACAAGTTTCACAAGACTTGCATTTTTAATTTTAAAAGCATCATTACCTAAAATCGTAATAATTAATCTCATATTTTTGTCCATTGTTCAAGAATCTCGATAATAAATGCATGCAATAATGTATGAATTTACAATAGTGGACAAATATAGGTGAAATGATTCTATGATTTTTCAATTAATTGGTGTGTAAGGGGACTATCGCAATGAAGGTTTACCAGGCGTTGGTTCACTGTCGTCGTAATTTTAGGTTTAGTTGAATGTAAATGGCTTGGGAGAAATCAGACCATAAAGAAAAACAGATTAACTTACTATCTAGATGGTGCACATACCCTTGAAAGTATTCAGGTAAGAGAAAAACGTAATTAGGGTCCTTAAAGGGGTACAGAATACCTCAGGGAGTTAACTCTTTAAAATTTAGATGAACATTTTAATCACAAACTGTAAAGTAAAGAGAAATCAAGCTTCTCAATGATCAAAATTAGTGTTTGTCAAACTGCTATATATCCAATGAAATTAATCTTGTAATTTTTGTGGTTTGAATTTCTTTAAATTTTGATATTTTTGTCAACAGGTCAAAGTAAATATTTTTTCAAAATTTTATGAAATTAAACGAGCCAGATCTAAATTAATTATTATAGTAATCAGCTTGTCTTTGCATCCACCTGTTCATCTGTCATTAATCTTTTCTTCTTTTAACCTTTAAAACCCCTTGAAGTTGAGTAATGAAACTTGGCATGATTATTCACCACTAGAACCTGTGTTGTGTACAAGGAAGATGTAGATGAATATTAGTGACCAATATTAGACATTTTCCACTTATAACCAATTCTTATTTGTTAATATCTACTCAAACAGCAGTGTGCTTGCCTATATGTCTTATTTTTATCAGAGATTGTTCATTTAATATATATATAGTAGTCCAAATATGAAATATAATTGACAATTTTGCCCTCCCCCCTTTTTTCCTGCAAGTTTGGAGAGTGGTGTTTTGGTAAAAACCATATACTTAAATGCAATAACATTGATAAACAAGAGCAATTTATGTATCTCCCAGCTAGGCAACTTGCTATATTTTATTTCATGTAAATTTGAAATTGTTTCAAATATTTTGACCTTTCTGTTAATTTATAGTCCTTGTAAAAAAATGAGAAAAGGTGTTTGACAGTCTTCTTTATATTACAGCAATGTGTTGATTTACAATCTTCTTTATATTATAGCAATGTGTTGATTGGTTCCAAAAACATTCCAAGAGAGAAGCAGACAGCATGAGGTAATTACTTTTTCATAATTGACTATTATCTCAGATTTATGTTATACCACCACTCTAGGAGTGGGGGCTATTTTGCATTCATCTTGTTACCGTTCATCTGTCCATTTGTCAAACAAATTTTTATGGCCCCGCAACAAAGTTGTAGGGGCCATATAGTTTTATCCTTGTCCGTCATTCCGTCATTCCGCAACAAACCATTTTTCTAAACACCTTCAGATATTGGGCTGATTTTTGGTATGTGAGTTAACCATGATGAGTTACAGATCAAGTTTAAGTTTTGTTCCGCTCTGCTAATTTTTGCCAAAATTACGGGCTTTGGACTTTGATAAATTGTTAAAAATCACAGTTATACGGACTTTTTTCTAAACGCCTTCAGATATTGGGCTGATATTTGGTATGTGAGTTAACCATGATGAGTTACAGCTCAAGTTTAAGTTTTGTTCTGCTCTGCTAATTTTTGCCGAAATTACGGGCTTTTGACTTTGATAAATTGTTGAAAATCATAGTTATACAGACTTTTTTTCTAAACGCCTTTAGATATTGGGTTGATTTTTGGTATGTGAGTTAACCATGATGTGTTACAGATCAAGTTTAAGTTTCATTCTGCTCTGCTGATTTTTGCCGTAATTACGGGTTTTGAACTTTGAAAATTGTTGAAAATCACAGTTATACAGACTTTTTTTCTATACGCCTTCAGATTTATCGCTGAATTTTGATATGTGAGTCTACCATGATGAGTAATAGATCAAGTTTATGTTTCGTTCCGATATGCTGATTTTCATATCGTTTCAACACATCTTCAGTACATCCACTTCCTGTTTGCTGATAGTTTGAAATTTAACTACTCATTAATCATGGAAATTTTTCATCAAACTAGTATTGGTCTTGAGAGCTGGATACTATCCATGCATGTTTGTGTCCACATGTGTTGTTGAAATTGCAGATTTTTCTGTTTTGTGAGACGGGGCTATTCGTGTCGTTCTGACACATCTAGTTTTGTCATACTTTTCTCACCTGTCTCAGAAACAGAATGATTTCATATTTGGTCAGCAGATTGACAGATATTAGTTGTAACATGTCAGCACATTTTGAATCTGTTAGGTACCTCCTTTCTAATCGCAGATACTTTGAATTTTTCAATAAGTTGAATGAAACTAAAATTTTTCGTCACATATTTCTCCTGTGCTATGGAACACAATAACTTCATATTTGACTATCAACTCAGCTGTGAGTAGTTGTAATGTGTATGCACTTTTCTGATCTGTCAGACACCTTCTTTCTGTTTTCTGTTAGTTTGAATTACCAGTGGAGTATGCTTAGCAACACATGCATTCTTGTTTTATAGTTACTGTTTTGTATAAGAGAAGGCATAAAAAAGAAAGACAGGGTCTGTTCTAAAGCTCTTTTTGAAAAATTGTTTCCTGATTAGGTACATCTTTGGAGGACTGATAGTGAAAGGCTACTGAATTCATAATATATTTTCAAAATTGTGCTTGTTTCTTTGTGACTTTTTACTTTTCAGTCAATTCCAAGTGACATTGCATAGTTTGAAATGATAAGTTTGAAGAAGATACATCTTTGTGATTTTGACCAGTCTAATTTTGTTTTCAGTTCTTGTGGTGGCAGGCAAGGCATAATTCTGTGTTAGCAATATTATCTATATAAAAAAATACAACACAGATACACTCAAAGCTGTACTTTAACCTATCTACATTAATTAAACATATGAACTTATTATACCTCAGTTATCATTTTCTGTATAAAATAAGTATACAATATTTTGACTATTTTTCAAATTGCAAACGTTTAACTATTTGACCGGTCAATAGTTTCCAACTATTGGACCTTGGTGAAACTATTTGACTGCAAGCGTCATCATATTTCGCGGAATTTCAAATGCAGCTACCGGATTGGAGGATGTCGAGAATACCGCGGGAATTGCGACGTTGCGTTTTACCTATTGTATCTAGGGTTGACGTCAATGCTGGACGTAGACTTAGCGTTCAGAATATATATGAAGTAAACGTTAAACAGTATGGTTGTGTTTCTGCTTTTTATATTACGATAGTTGATTTAGCCCCGACATTTCTTGTCTGTTGTCTCTTTCGGTATAATAAAACACTTACTGACTGGATATTTGTGGAATAGTAAGTTTATTGTCCCCTTGGATATAACTATTGCCTTCGGCTACAACTCAGGGCAATAGTTGCACCTCGGGGGACAATAAACTTACTATTCCACTCATACCCAGTCAATAAGTATAAAATATTGTGCATGGTTCCACAGAACTAAAGTTAAAGATTTACATGTAACTTTTTATTCTATTTGCAGTGGTAAAGTGATCAAAATTTTGCTGTTTAACACAACAGGAGATAGAGATGTAACACAACTGCTCAGACCACTCATGGTAAAGTATAGTTATCATCAGTATTTCAACTGCAGTCAGTTCAATAACATTATAGATGGAACTCTTCGCTAGAAATTCTTGAACCCGATTTCATTGCATTTCAAACAATTCACAGGAAAAAAGTTCCATTTCAAGCAGATCACAGCATCTTTGTTTATGACACTTTTTTTACAGAGTTGTATTATATCACTGTTGAGAGGCTACTTTTTTTAATTAATTTACATGTTGCTATTCCATGGCCTTTAATAGCTTACTGTACATGCTGTGCGATATATTTTTTGGTAGTTGTTGAAAGCCATACAGATACATGTACATGTTCACATCCTTGTCCTTGGGTCTTTTGTGGACAGTTGACTCTTGGCAAACAAACCATGTCTCCTTATTTTTATATTTAAATTCCCTTTCTGAATAAACTTACTTCCATTAAAGTAACATATTTCCACGAATTGAAGTCTTTATTTCACATGTTGTTGCTTGTTGACATGTTACCAGGCTTATTTTAGTTTATAGCTTATTGTCTATCCTAAAACAAATGTGCTAGTGAGATACTTGTATGGGGAGTATGTCACAAATAATCCCACAGTAATTGGGTGGATGTGTGGACTGGTGGGTGCTATAGTCTTCAACTGAGATTTGGTATAATTTTTTTTTCTAGAAAGTTATTTTATGCATGTGCATCACTCTTTGCATACACAATGGAAGAATTTTTACTGATTTTTAAGACGGTGAAAATGAGTCAATTTTCAGCAACAGTTTATATATTTTTTATCATTCATGTATATCAATTTATATTTGTTGCAAACTTGTATATAATTTTGTATTTTCAGTCATGTGGGTTTGATGGAGCAGTATTCTGTCCAAACATATCATACACAACATCATCATCTGCAGGTAGTGTATATAAATAATGACCATATAACTTTCAATCCTGTAATGTAGACTACCATTATATTCTAAGTAAAAAAAAAAAAGAAAGCACACAAAAAAACTAACCATGCACATAAAAACTAGACCGGATGTATTATGGTATATCAATATCCGCCTGATTTTAAGAATGCTAGACATAAGAATACTAACCTGGATACAACATAATCTATTTGTATTGAGCCTTACAAATTAGGTGGAGAGCCAGGTACTTCATTTCTTATAGCAGATGTCTTATTATTTAAAGTTTTGATTTGACATATATATATATGTCTGTTGTCCTTGACCTCAATTTCATGGTTCAGCATCTGCTTGAAGAAACTATCGTTTTTTATAGTTTGATGTTTTTCTCACTTATAATAAGGGCTATTCCAGAAAGAAATGTATGGGAGGGTTGGAAGGCACTTTATATTAATAACACATTGGTGATGGATATAAGAGCAACTTTTCACATTATAATGCACTATGGTTCTCAATTACAATTGTCTGGGTGGCGGGTGATGAAACAAACTGCCTCCCTCCCCTCCCCTACATTTTTTTCTGGAATAGCCCTAAGTAATTGGACATCTATATTTAGTATATACAATCATTGCAAGATAAATACATGTCTGTCAGACAGGACGCATCTGACCTTGACCTCTTGTATCAGTGATAAATGTTTTATTATTTTGTGGTAAGGTCTGTTTCTCATTTTCTGTTAGCAATAGGTCATATATATTTTGTGTATGGGATAATTGTTTGGTGTACATGTATGTCTGGCAGGTTTTTCTTACCTTGACTTCATTTTTATGCTTCATTGATCAAGTGAACTTTTTCGTGGTTAGGTCTGTTTTTCAAATACAATCAGCAATAGGTCTAACTATTTTGTTGCATCTAATGATTATGAAAGGTACATGTATACATGTCTGTCTGGCATCCTTCATCAGACATTGACCTAATTTTCATTGATTATTGATAATGTTAAGTTGATGTAGTAACTCGATCCAAAAGACTTACAACATAAAACTCAATCATGATCAGTATTAACAGCAGGCTAGAGGTGTGCACTCTTGTTTATAATACACATTGTTCTGTTCTTCTAGCTACTAATAAAAAATAAACAATGTAAAACAGATAAACAGTCTACATAATGTTAATCACAACTAAATTGAAGATAAAGTAACTTTACACAATGTTAATCACAACTAAATTGAAGATTAAGTAACTTTACCATGAGAAATAATGCAATGTACTTATACTATTACTGACTTATGTTTAAGTAACATACACTTACATTATTATATTGGTTTAAGTAAGGTATTACATTGTAATTAATACTTTAAACATACAGGTAAAGGTGCACAAGGTAAGAAATGATAAGAAAAATATCACATGCATGGATTATAGGCATTTCATTATATCTAAATTGAAAAATCTAAAGGTAATTGGTCTGCTTTCCTCATAAACTTTTATATCTGAATGTAAATGATTTTTTTATAAAGGAAAAAAAAATGCCAATGAATATCTTAAATGATATACATTTGTATGATGAAATGCTTACACTTGCTAGTCAGATATTCCATATCCCTCTGTAAAGTTGATTCCTACCCTTCGTGCTGTTATGATCACATATTTGCATATAGAATTGCTAGCAAAGTACTATTGCTTAAGAAGTAATGTGAATCGGGATGTTACAGATAAATGTACCTACTTTAATGTGTATGGTCTCATGGTTTTGTAATTAAAAATAAATTGTTTCACAAGTTTTATTATCTATACTACTAAAGGAAGAGACCGATTTCATTGAGCCGCAACTCCTCTGAAACCATACAAATCGGAAATATTTGTGATATGACGTATAAATGTAATGCTAGTAGTCCTTTGTTAATTTATGTATCATTGTCATTTAGCTTAGTTTCTTTTGTTACCTATTCTGACAACGGACTCAGACTTATTTTAAACTGAGTTTTACTGTGCTTTTTGCTGTGTGTTTGTTTATTCTACATTGGCTTGAGTGATAGGGGGAGATTTGAGATCTCACAAAAACATGTTTAACCCCGCCGCATTTTTGCGCCTGTCCCAAGTCAGGAGCCTCTGGCCTTTGTTAGTCTTGTATGTTTTTTTAATTTTAATTCATTTATATATTTTGGAGTTTAGTATGACGTCCATTTTCACTGAACTAGTACACATTTTTATTTAGGGGCCAGCTGAAGCCTGCCTCCGGGTGTGTGATTTTCTAGCTGTGTTGAAGACCCATTGTGGCCTTATGCTGTTTTCTGCTCTTTGGTCGGGTTGTTGTCTCTTTGACATATTCCCCATTTCCATTTTCAATATATTTTGTACTTCCTAAATTTGTCTTTGAAACAATCTTTTTTCCACAGAAAACTCCAATTTTTGAGAAAATATCCAAATTCGGAGACTGTTATCAAATCTGTGTCATATACGCTTTCGCGCATGCTTAGTCCGATGTACTGCCTGCGAAATCCAAGTGAAAGTAAAAAGAAAGGATAGAAATAGGACAGTTCGGCCTATAAGGATCCTGTATTGTATTGTAAGTGCATCATTTTGCTAAATTAAACGACATCCACCCATTTTACTGTCCAAAAATGAAATGGGCGTTGAACGTGTCGAAGTGATCCTCCCCCCTTTTTATGTGTAAACACAGGCACCCGATGTCCGGACCCCTTCTACTTTTTATTTGTAAACACAAGCACCCGACATTTCAACACTTGCCTAATTGTACCACGATTTCGCGGGCATCTTCTAGTGATAATAATTTAAGAAAGTCCAGTTAAAAACAGAGCAACAAAAAAATTCTTTCCACTTTAAGACATGCTGCCAATGTTTTATCAATGATGAAATGTTTTCTTTCTTTTAGACATAACTAATATGACTGTCTCTAATGAAACACAACTACAGAAATGTCAGCATAATATGGAAACATGGAAAATGCTCTCTCTTTCCAAACGAAAATATGGAGAGATTGAAGAAGTTACAGAAGTTGACAGTCAGCCTGGTAGCTATTCATCTCCTTTGAAAAATGGAGTGCATACAAACACTGAGAACAACTGCTTGAATGGTACCAGTTCTTTGAAAAAGTCAAGATTGACAGAAAATTGTAACAATAGTAACTTATCATCAGGTCTTGTAGACAATAGTCAGTCACATGATAATATAGACCAATCAAAACAGAATAGTTACACTGCCTCAACTTCAAGTTGTACAGATTCTCTGGGTTTAGGCACACCGAAACAACTCGGTACTAACTGTAATAACTTTTTTGTAAACTTCTCATGTATTTATGATGCCCTTCTTTGGGCGTCGCATGGGAGGGACCAGAATTTGAAGGATCCTTGTAACCTTCCTGCTCAGATACAGGAGGCAGATCATGTACAGGTTTTAGTTACAGGGAGTATACATCTGGTCGGAGGGGTACTTGGAATTGTTAGTGATGATTACAATTAAACGTTAGTGATATGTTTAACTTGAATATTTTTTATGACGGCTTATTGATTCAAATGGGGAAATTTATTTTTTTATCCACTCACACAATTTGAGGAAAGAATAAAGTATTTCCTTGGTTTCTTCAGTTTTTTATCTGTTTTCGTTAAGTTTTGCATTGAGGTCCTGGTCATCTAAGTTACTTTAAAGTCATAGATGAAAGATGTTATGTACTTATGTTCATCATTGATAGCATTAACAGCAGCACCCCATGCAAAATTAAATCACATCTGTTTACACATGAATGATTTTTTTAAGTTGTCTTAAATTCACATTACTTAAGTATCCAGTATCTCTGAAAAAGTACAGGGGAGAGATTAATATATGTGTATCATGGTTCGAATCCTATATCATTTAAAAAAAAAAAAATTTAGACCTGCAATATAATAGTCAAGCGCTACTTTTGAAATTTTATTTTATTTTCCAATTACTACTGGGTATAGCCAATCCATCTGATCAATATTATTTCAAGATATGCAAAATAGTAATCAATACACTAATGTCAAATTCAGGAACTTGAGTAGATCTGACGTAAAGTTTGCACTGGTTGACTTAAAGGTGTATGCAAAACATTTATTTTGGTCTTTTGTCAGATGGTCAGATGTTTTTATTGTGAGTAAACACATGTTTTATTTTCTGATGGACTAACTAGAAATTGATTTATTGATTTGTAACCAAGCAAAGGGAAGAAAATTGGTAATTTTGGTTAATGATATATGACAGTCAGTGTATTTAAGAATGGTGATTGCATCTGAAGTGTTTTTCTATCAGAAATACTTTAAAAAGCTAACATTCAATTTTCTATACAACCAAAAGAATTAGATCTTGTCAAATATACTTGTATGTGAGGTTTTTTTTGTGTTTGTTAAGTGTAACTTGATCCTTTGCTTGACAAACCACACTTTATGAGGGCCTGGAACTCTGGACTTTGGATAGGGTTTACAGAATAGACAATAATAAGCCAAAAAAATAGAAATACAGAAAAATGGGCAAAAAAAAAGAAGAATAGAAAGTAATGGGGTGCTTTATAATAAAAATATGAAGAATAGAAAGTAATGGGGTGCTTTATAATAAAAATATGAAGAATAGAAAGTAATGGGGTGCTTTATAATAAAAATATGAAGAATAGAAAGTAATGGGGTGCTTTATAATAAAAATATGAAGAATAGAAAGTAATGGGGTGCTTTATAATAAAAAAAAGAAGAATAGAAAGTAATGGGGTGCTTTATAATAAAAATATAAAGAATTGAGGATAATGGGCCAAAAATATTGAGAAAATGGTCAAAAAATTTAAATAAAGAAATGAATTCCTCCAACCCCAACTCAAACCAAACCCTCCAAAACCAGTCACTGATTTATTTTAATCACAATGATTTTCTGAGTTTCACCATATTTCCATATCTATACTGAAATGAATGGGAATCTTGTATCTGTAACTTTCTTTTAATAATAATGACTCTCAGAATATTTATAATAGTATTGTGTGCCTCCTATGTTATGATTTTGATCCACAGTTCATTTTAAGTTTTTCTGTTTTGTATGTTCCCAATCCCATTTGATATTGTTAAAAGATTGTTAGTATATTGTGGATTCATCGTTATTTGTGGAGTACCAATTTTCATGGATTTCATGGGGATATGTGAACCACAAATTTATGTGTTAAATGAAGTACTAATTCCCTGTAAGCTTGTGTGCAAACTTTTGCAAAACCACGAAATCAGGTATCCATGAAAATACAATCTTTCCTTTATCCATGAAATTTGATACTCATGAAAGAGGGTCTGGATGGGGGTTCCTACATTTCTCTATTTTCTGTATTCTATTTTTTCCCCCATTATTCTCTATTCTTTGTACTTTTTGCCCATTATTTTCTATTTATGTTTTACCACCTCATTATTCTCTATTCTTTATTTTTTTTGTCAATTTTCCTCTATTCTTTATTTTTTTTGTCAATTTTCCTTTATTCTTTTGCCCTTTATTCTCTATTCTCTAAACCCCCATCCACATCCTCATGAAAATAAAGGAATCCACAGTATGTGCTGACCTTTACTCGAATAAGGAATTGATTACTTGATTGAATTGTGTACTGAAACCTTAATTCTGGTGTTGCTGTTACAAAAGTTTCGTGTATGATTATCGTACTCAGTCATCGTACTCAGACTCAGAAATTGACCAATCAAACACTTCATTTGATGTTTCAAGCACAAATTGTGTACTACGAGTACTGAGTAACATCTTATGACCGAATGCCTACTTAATTTAATTGAAAAAATCTTTTCTTCATTTATTATAGTGTAAATGCAATTCTGTAGAGAGAAAAATAATATAACTGATCAAAGAATTACTTTGTGGCAAGACAATTTTTTCTAATTTTATTGTTTTTTGAAAGTTTGTTTAGCATGTTTATTGGACAGAAAAGAATAATTTTATCATTCTTTCAAACCTAATTTATTGAATTATGGTTATTTGAAATTTGTTATTATTATTTGATAAGTGGGGTTTTTTTTCAGATAAAAACTAGGTTATTTATTTTTTAACTGTAGATTATGATTCATAATACTTACCTATTGTTGTGGTATTTTAATGAGGGATACATATTATTACATTTATCATTATAATTATTGAGTTTTTTATACGACCGCAAAAAAAATTGCGGTTGTATATTGGTATCACGTCTTCGTTGTCGTCAGCGTTGTCCGAAGACATTTGGTTTCCAGACAATAACTTTAGTAAATGTAAATAGAAATCTATGAAATTTAAACTCAAGGTTTATAACCACATAAGGAAGGTTGGGATTGATTTTGGGGGTTATAGTCCTAACAGTTTATGAATAAGGGGCCAAAAAGGGGCCCAAATAAGCATTTTTCTAGTTTCCAGACAATAACTTGTGGAACGGTGTATGGATCTCTCTGAAATTATACCACAAGTTTCCATACCACAAAGGGATGGTTAGGATTGGCTTTGGGGGTGTTATGGCCCAAACCATTTAGGAATTAGGGGCAAAAAGGGGGGAAAAACAAGGGTTTCCTGGTTAATGGACAATTAAAAAAAGTACAATGTTATGTTTGGATTACCTCCCTTACACTGCTTTTAAATTATGTATAAAGAAATGTTGTATTGTCTTGAGGTGATTAGCTGTCAGTTTATTTTTAGAAGTTACTATTTAAAAATGTTGATTAAGGAATATTAATTTTAGCCATGATTATGTATGTCATTTTCTATTTTAAGACTTTTATGATGTATTTAAATGGGTAATTATGGTTGCAAACCCCATTGGAAATTTGAATTGAGATTATGACCATATCTTGAGGGAAAGAATTTTTTGGAAAAAGGGGGAGGTGAAAAAAAAAATTGTGAGGGGGGGGGACAATTTTTTATCATTTCAGATTTCAGAAATTAAAAAGAAAATTTCTTCAAATATTTTTTTTTTTAATTTTTAAAGGGGGGGTTTAATTCGCAACAGCATAGTGTATTGCACAAAGCAAAAAAAAAAGGGGGGAGGATTTATTTTTTTTTTTGTTGGGGGGGGGGGGGGGGGGAGGGGAGTCAATTGACAACAGTATAGTGTATTGCACAAAAGCAAAAAATTGAATATAAATTCAAATCATATAACCAATTCTAAGTTCTTTGACTACAGTTATTCTGTGTCAGAAACCTATTATGTGTCAAATATTTAATTACAATCAAAATTCAGACCTGTATCAAGCGCGAATATTGTGTCCATTTTTGCCCCAACTGTTCAGGGTTGGATCTCTGCGGTCATATCCAGCTGCGCTCGGTGAAGCAATTTATTTTATGTTAAAGTCCCTTTTGCGTTATAATTAACTCAGTTATCCAATATATGGTCGAGGTTGAAAGCCTGAGGATGATATTGGTTTACTGTTAATACAGCAGCCTTATATGAAGTTTTTCTGGTAAAATCCCTTCTACTTTATAGTTATCATGGATCTTATTTATTAGGAGCTATGTAGTGAACAGAAGACAAACATAAAATTGATAGTCATTACTTAAAAGAAGAAGGTCAGATTTGGGGTCAAATTGGCTGTAAAATGAAATGTACTCTCAAACTGTCTCTGATTTGAATAATCAAATGGTGAATCTATATACTTTGAAATGAAATTGCAGTTTTGGTTTTAGGTATACTCTTTCCATAGTTTATACAGCTATAAAAGGATAGTTTATTCTACAAAATCTTGATGATGTGGTTGAAAATATAGAGCATTTAGGCAACTTTGTATATATATAATTTATTGTCATACATTTAGATACTACCAAATGATTTTCTAGAAGGCAAGCTGTTAAAGTTGCCTTTTAATTGATACCAATGAATATAACCTTTTGTGTGATTCAAATTTGATAAATCTTTATTTAACAATAAAAAATTTCATAAACTGTTAATAGTATGATTTTATAAAAAGTAATTATTTCAAGTACTTTTTCATAGATATATTATTAAAACAGTTGTACACTAAATTTAGACTTTTTGTACTATCAATTTTGTTACTTTTTGTCCTGTAACTTTCCATCTGTTTACTTGTTATAAAACTACCGTAGATAAGCATTTTTACTGTGAAAATACAAAATGATTTTTAATTAAAATTATATGAAATTTTATAAATTTGGGCATTTAACAGAAATTTTCCTCAGTGAGAATGATGAAAAACATTATTTCCATTAGGATTTGATGATGTAATGTAAAAATTAATATCTTTGGATAAATTAAATTCAATGGTTGATTGTACTAAACAACAGAGCCTAGATCCATGAAAGCATTTTGTCAATACAAAATGTAATTATTTCACATTTTACAAGCAGTTGCAATACAAAGAATATATAATTCTGTACTTCAGCATTATTCAGTTTCAATAAAGAGATTATTGCACATAAGTGTTTTGTATAATGAACCATACAGAATAATACCATAAAATGCGTAAAAGTATTTTAGTCTTAGTTTAAGTAAACACAGTAGTATGATATGTACTTTTAATGGAGGATTACACAATTATTATATGTAGGAAACAAATTTTGAATATTTAAGATTTAGTTAAGAAAAAATCAATAATGATGTCTTTCACAAGAACATTTACACTTGGTTTTTCAATTACATTTTCTAAAGCTCAATTTGTAATTCAAGCTTGTAGTTAAATGGTAAACACACAGAATAGTGATACTATCTAACGTGCCCTGCTCATGTTGGGGGGTATGAAAATAATTTTATATATAAACTTAGTTCCAGCTTTTATTAGGTCATTAGGTCAACGGTATGTGTTTTATCAATAATAAATTGAAATAAAGGACATTTTATTGGCTATAACCATGCAATATGTTGATATTATAGTTAAAGCATGTTGAGAGCTAACTATTTAATGAATGTATGATTGAATAAGTTGGTGTTTAAAC